GAATTTGAATATTACATTTTCAATGTTTTTCTTATTGCAGCGAAATGTATTTTATTAAATAACTCTGCGAGTTTTCAACATTTTTCGTTCAAACTTGGTCAGGTAGTAGAACTAGTCTAATGCTTTCATCGGGACCAATAAAATGTTTTTGGCAAAATTAACACTCAAAGGTGTTCTGTAACCTTAAGGCACTTTATTATATGGCAAGCATCACTTACAGTGAAATGACTGTGATTGGCTGAGAAGCACTTTCAGCGGTCCATTATTTTCCCCGGCCGGTCCAATACGTAAAAACAAACGCATGCATTTTAAAACAAAACAGCATACTGTAACTAATTGAAAATTATAATTTAATTTGTTATTAATAAGATATCTGCGAATGGTTTTTAGTGGAAAAGAAAGAATACATTGGTATTTTTTGTTTTCTTCGACCAAATGTGTACCATGCTAGTAAATACGCATTTCAAATCTGCGTTTCAAGTATAAATATGCGTTTCAAGTATAAATGCCATATAATTAACTTTTTATTAACCTCGCTTGCTCGGTATATACAGAGAAATATCACGATATTTCACTGTACAGATCTCGCGTTCGGTTAATAAGAAGTTAATAACTTGCAACATCGACCTTCAATGTCGCTTATATGGCCTTGATCCGAAGACAGGACATGCATTTGTAATTTGTGTATGAGGAGATTTGTAGGCTAAGTGAATTTTAGCTTGAACGGTCTGTGTCTCTCAACTTTCGCAGTTTTCTAAGCGAATTCTACTATAAAGTAAACATTGTCAGCTTTGATGGTGCATGATGTGTTTGTCCAAACAGTGTAAAAATCAAGCATGCATAGTACCTTGACACTAGCTTCCCATCTATCTCTTTCTCCAGCTAATCCGGACACCAACTTCCCCGCTCGGTCTAGTTTCAATTCAGTCAGTTCCGCTTTCTTTCTTAACTCTTCTTTTTGTGCAAGTTTTTCATCATACTGTCTCTTTAAGTCCTCCATTCTGTCTGTTACCTGAGACACAAAATACACATATTAGTCAATAACGATCTCAAATATTCGAGGTTAAATGTTATACAGCTGACTTAAAAACACTTTCAGGAAAAATCCCTACTTTAAATATAGCATACTAATGTTGGAAAGAGTGAATATTCAATTTCTACATACTAATGGTCACCTTCATACAAGGAAAAAGATGGATATAGTGGATTTGGCCATTTTGGCGATAGCATTTGTCACATCACACTATCGCGTAATCCACTTTATCCCTTATAAATTACCTCTTTCAGTTTTGCCTTGGCTTCCGTGAGTATAGCTTGTTTTTCTTTAAGTTGACTGGTAGCTTGATTCAATCTCTGTCTCTTGGGTTCAACAACTCTGTATATTCTACCGTATACTTCCATAGCTCGTACCCACATACATAATGATTTAGCAGCCAATGAAACACGACCTATGATCTCAGGTTGAAAATCAGCTTGGGAACAATATGTTCCAATTTTCTTTAACACTCTGTCTGACATATTGTCTTTGTCGAAGTTGATGAGTTGCTTGATAAAATTCTGTTCTCCTGAAAGCATGATGCAAGGAATGTATAGTTTGTTAAGAAGCCAAGCATGAATTACGGTACGAGGAGGAATAAATCTATATTCCAGGAATACATTAATGCAAGATCCCCTGCCCACGTATTATTGTACGTATTTTCTTCAGATAAAAATCTTGTGAATGCCCTGGTGCATTAAGACCAATCTTAAATGGGATGGGCCCTTGGTCCACCACAGCTGATCTTATCAAAGGTTTAAAATAAACTATTTGGCATAAGAACAGGTTGATATTCTCCTTCTGGGTGGGTCTTTTCAAGGGTAGGACGTTTTCAAATACACATCCTTTAACACTGCACACTTACTAAAGCTGCCCCCCCCCCCCAAGGAAATTTAAAAAAATGCAAGAATGAGTGACTCAGCGTCTTAATGACAACTCGTCCTTTGTGTTCAGACTCGTTTCCCTGCTCATACAAATGTTGCTAAACTTCCACGAATGTTTCTATATCTCGATAGATAGACAGAACTATTTCTTAAATTCCAGCCAAAGAAAGCGGTTTTATATTTTACACTACACATTCTATCATTGTTACCTAATTGTCTCTTTGCCTCAGCCCATGTTGGTTCATTGCCTCGCAGGATCATCACAGCTTCCATTACTCTTTCAACTAAAGCCGGTGGTCGACCATACGACTTTATTTCCGTCATATCTTTCTTGTTCAATGCTTCCAGAGCCTATATATAGGTATTAAAAATAATATAGTTGCAGTTGTGTGGTTGTTTTATCAAAGTTTGAACTCAGTTGAACATAGTTTAAACTCAGTCTGTTCCAGTACAATAACTTGCTAGCACGTATAGGAGAGAATTCGAGTACCCAAGAGGGGAGATTGACTCTGAAACTTTGGTAATGCTAGGTTGATGGTGCTAGAATTCAGATGAGATAGTGAAACAAGTACAGGCTCACTCACACACCAACACAGACTTGGATCTAAAGCTTCATAGGCAAACTAGCAACATTGTTGCGGAAAAGTGATTACTAGCTATATTTGTCGAGAGTGGACATTGTGTCGGCAACAAAAATAGAATATGTTTCTGAATATGTTAGGAAACGCTTCCACCTTTTGGGAAGTAAATTTTGTTTCCTAATGTCTGTCGACAAATGAGAAAACATTCGAGAGAACATTACAATGTCTTCAAGTTTGTCAACAAATGCTTAATAGATTACTTAGCATTATCTTCATAATGCTTTATCGAAATCATGCTGAGCTTGTCTTGCCATAACATGCACGACATTATTCATACAGAACTTAATTTCTTATAACAGACTATCAGGTGCTACACAGTAGCTCACAATGTTACCTTCATAGCTTCAGCCAGGGCAGGTAATGCTTCATCCAAATCATGCTGGGCTTGCTCCGCCATTACACGACATTTTTCTTCTTCTTCACCAATTTTCTCACTACGTGCGGCTACAAACTGAAGAAATGAAAACAATGTTTATGGACTTATTTATGACGACGGCACTATATGACCAACACTGACAAGATACTTAAAAATGATAGTTAATACACGATGGGGGTAACCATTGATAATAGACCATTATAACTTAATATACTAAATACACAAGGGGCAGATACAGGCACTTCAGATAAAAGGAGTATCTTTTTAGAGCGGGTGCACTCTCCATCACCAACGCAAATTATATCACAAATACTAAAATGAAAATATCAGTACGAACTGTATGCTTGATGATTACTTTTTAACGAGGATGTTAATTTTATTTGACGGTGGTTGAGGTTTGGACCCTCTGCATCTTCGTCTGGGAAGATCCACGTACGAAGTAACCTTCAGTGTGTTTCAGTATCAGAAATCAATACGTATCTTGATGATGTGTATGAAACTTACTTTTTGCTGTTCATCTGCATCTCTCTTTTGTTGTACGATTACAACCAGATATTCTTCACATTCTTTCTGAAATTTCGCCACTTTAACCTTGGCCTCCTCTAGTTCAATTGACATTGATTCAACCTAAATATGTGCAAAACCATATATTAAAATTAGTATAAAATCAAAGATATGAAATATATCAGTATTAACCTAAATTCTCAATTAATCTTCCTAACAACGTTCTGCCCTTGTTCAAACCTTAACAGTTCTTATCGAGTATGGTGGGTACAAGTGGAATAAAATTTTCCTCAAATCTGGAATTCTGCTCCTATAAGATTTCATTTGGTTATATACCTTTTTTCCGAATATTGGTTCAAATTTTAAAAAATACGCAAGATATCTATATATATAAACAACAAAAGCGGAGTATGACCAGTACTCGGGAAGTATGACTTATTTTTAAATAAGTCATACTTCCCGAGTATTGGTCATGCTCCAAAAGAGTCTTATGAAGAAGATTTAGTGCGGTCTGCTTTATGCGATAATATCGTTTTGAAATATCAGCTGTAAAACGGAACAAGTTTCGTTGGAGTTGGTCGACTGCCCAGATTTCAAAAGTAAGTGACTGAAAATCTTGATCGCGTTTCATTTGAAAATACGCCTGGGCCAATAGACGCGGAGATTCAGTACCTTTGCCCTGGTTTCATCAATTTTATCCAAACCATTTCTCAACTTTGCTGCAGCATCACCCAGTTCTTTACGTTTTTCAGAAAGCAAACTAAATAACATAATATGTACACGAATGAAGTTAAACAAACAAATAAACAAAGAAAGTGCATGAAACTTATGAAAATAGAATAAAATCCCGCGTATATGAACTTAGGTTTTAAGACTGAACCTCTTTGGACATTTTCTATTTAGAACCCAATTCATATACGAACCTGGTTAAATTTCAAACAAATTGTTGTAATTGTATAAAAAGTTTTTTTAAATTTAAAGGACCTAAAATGTGTTTGCATTCGCTTAAATTACAGTTACCTGCCGAAAATTCAGATAGCTATAATATACCAGAACTTTAGTTAGTAAGCAACCTAATTGCAAAGTAGGATCGTCAATATAAGAACATTTTTTGTCAGATTGGACAGATCACTCCATTTTCTGTACCTTTGATAACCAGAGACAAGTTCCAAATAGTTTGTAGGCGTGACGTAATTATGACGTTTCATTTCTAACAACATCCGGTTTGACATATGCACGACGGATCGATGAGTGTTGACAAAAATTTCCGCGATGTTCTTTTTAGTCTAAATGAACAGACAGAAAACAGTATTACATTTAGCAAAAGCTTAACTAACATTTGACTCATCTCTCCTTTCAATATGCCATCAAATGCAATATTACTATATCACATCTAATAAAAGAATTTCCATTATTATTCGCTCTGAAAACGGCCAGTTGACCACCACTTGTGTGAATTTTATATATTTATTAGTCCTAACCAGGAACAACTTCCCTAACTAGGAGCAACTGCCCTAACCAGGAGCAACTGACCTACCCAGGAGCAACTGACCTAACCAGGAGCAACTGACCTAACCAGGAGCAACTGCCCTAACCAGGAGCAACTGCCCTAACCAGGAGCAACTGACCTAACCAGGAAAACTTCCCTAACCAGGAGCAACTGACCTAACCAGGAGCAACTGACCTAACCAGGAACAACTGACCTAACCAGGAACAACTGACCTAACCAGGAGCAACTTCCCTAACCAGGAGCAACTTCCCTAACCAGGAGCAACTTCCCTAACCAGGAGCAACTGACCTAACCAGGAGCAACTGACCTAACCAGGAGCAACTGACCTAACCAGGAGCAACTGACCTAACCAGGAGCAACTTCCCTAACCAGGAGCAACTGACCTAACCAGGAGCAACTGACCTAACCAGGAACAACTTCCCTAACCAGGAGCAACTTCCCTAACCAGGAGCAACTTCCCTAACCAGGAGCAACTGCCCTAACCAGGAACAACTTCCCTAACCAGGAGCAACTGGCCTAACCAGGAGCAACTGACCTAACCAGGAGCAACTGACCTAACCAGGAACAACTTCTCTAACCAGGAGCAACTGACCTAACCAGGAACAACTGCCTTAACCAGGAGTAACTGACCTAACCAGGAGCAACTGACCTAACCAGGAACTGACCTAACCAGGAGCAACTACCCTAACCAGGAGCAAATGCCCTAACCAGGAACAACTGACCTAACCAGGAACTGACCTAACCAGGAGCAACTACCCTAACCAGGAGCAAATGCCCTAACCAGGAGCAACTGACCTAACCAGGAACTGACCTAACCAGGAGCAACTACCCTAACCAGGAGCAAATGCCCTAACCAGGAACAACTGACCTAACCAGGAGCAACTGACCTAACCAGGAGCAACTGACCTAACCAGGAGCAACTACCCTAACCAGGAACAACTACCCTAACCAGGAGCAACTGCCCTGGTTAGGTCTAATAAATGTAAAAATTCAGAGATTTCTCGAAATTTCCATCTACAAAATCCTTCTACAATTTAGTGGCACTCTCATATTTACGAGTCGAAGCTCTGAACTCCAATACTTTGTGTTTAATTATGAAATTGCTCGTGATAAAGCAATAATTACCTCGTCATCTCCAAGTTCCATTGGCTCTAAATATTTCTCAGCAACTTCAAGCAAAGCATCATTTGGCCATTCACTGAACCAATCAATTGTTGTACAGTTCACAAATGCTGGGTACATTCGTATACGATTCCTGAAACAAAAATATCACGATTTTCCTATACTACATTTTTCAAACATATCTATGAATTTTTTCGATTATCATACTGTAATCTCCCTGCAAAAGTGTCCCCGTCATCAAGATGAGTACTACTTATGAGATGTTAAAACTTTGTCTAGCCAATCAGTTGGCAGTGGGACAGGATGCAGTATAGGCGTATGTCGTGTAACCTGCGGACGTCTAGTATCAAACATCCTGTATTATTTTTAAATTATCTCCAACAGGACCCAAACATAAAACAATATGTAAGACTGCATGGTTGTACAAAGGCCCATTTACACTTGCAATTTGTGCTGCGATTTTAAGTGCGATTTTCTTCTTTTGATGGATGTGAACGAGTAAATAAGTTATGAATGTTCTGAGTATATGTACACTCATCTATAACATTCCTAACTCATCCACTCGTTCCAATACATCAGAGAAGAAAATCGCACTTAAAATCGCAGCAAGACTTGCAAGTGTAAATGGCCTTGAGAAGTATTATATATATATGTCGTGCAAACCTTCAAACATCCAGTATTATATTTACATATATCCTGTAGTAGTTACCTGAAAGGATCACCAACAGGACTCATACATAAAACAATATGTAAGTTACTTCGAACTCTTTCAATGAAATAAGCGAACATTGATTCTGGAGTATCTGCAATACCATCGTTCTTTGCTGCTTCGGAGATCGCGGTTCGTACCTTGCCAATAAGAATTAAACATTAGTTCACGAAACTTACTGGCACGATTCATAAAAGTGACAGCCGTGAAGAAAATCTAGACCTTCGCCTATCCGAGGAAGATCCCCTACACACGCTGGCCCAACACAATCAACGCACCAACCACACCTCAGCAGAAATAAGGAAAAGAAGATGGCTCGAACACTCTCTAGACATACTCATGGCAAACGGAGAATTGACCGCCACCCAACACCTCCTAGACACAAAGAAGGTGGGATATAGACCTAAGGAAAAGACACAGGAAGAGATGGATGGAATGTTGACAGCCTATGCCCCAGATAGGGGTACTAGGTTTAAATAAATAATACAAAATCACAGTTTATACAGTATAACACTAACCTCCTCAAATTCGTCAGGTTTATATAAATTTGGGACTTCGCCACTGCTTAGAATGTTATTTATATCTTCCAGGAAAGATTCGTCTAGTACTTGAGTGTCATTGAAGAGAAATATCGTCGGTTTATAATCCACTCCAGCCATGAAGTACAACTTCTTTAAATCTATTGGTATGAGAAAGTATAGAAACAGAGGTATTAGGAAGTGATGTAATAAGCAGAAATTGTGACGTTTCGAGCCAAGACCGTTCGTCCGGAGAGTTCGCGTTTCCAAGGACTTACAATTAAAGCCGAAATTATGTATGTGGACACTGGACATTGTAATTGTAATTGATTGTAATTAAAACCATTCAACCTGCAACATTGAAAAGGGGGAGTGGGGGAAACAGGACGTGACAGGGCGAACCCGTTTTCCACGATATCAACGCATTCCAAAACCAAAATGACCTAAACCGCAAATAGAGGTCCCAGATCTAGCCTGGTTCTTACCATCTCTAAACTCCGCTTTTTTGTAATTTCTTGTCACTTCAATTTGGAAAACTTTATAACTAATCATGTAAGCCGCCAATCTTGTTAAACTTTGTCTTCCACTCCCACCAATCCCAATCAACAACATGTTGCCACGTGGCTTTCCAATAACACGGACGATTCTGGAAACTACAGAGAGGAAGAGAAAAGTAAGGAGAAGAAACACAGTAAACTAAACTAGCTTGTTTATACTCAAAAGCTTTATCAATTCTGAAAGCTTTATCAATTTTTGAATTTGTGTAGACCCTATTAGATAGTATTTTAAAATTCTGACAATATTTAGTTCCTAAAACCTAAAATACGATGCATTTGTGCAGCCACATTACGAAAGTCTGAATTCTACTTGCAGGCACTAAGTAATATTAAATGTGCCCTGGTCATTCCTATGAGTTCCATTATTACTACAAGAGGTAACCGGAGTATCAGAGGAAACTCGGTGTGTTTTGTACTCTCAAAGAAAACACTCCGAGGTGAAATAATAAAAAGAAGCCGGCGAAATGCACATTAACCACAGACTGTGAAACGAAAATTCTTTCAACAGGATGTGAGAATATCCGTTTATTAGTATTTTTACACAGATATCAATGCAAATGCACTAACCGTGTTCTATAGCATCTCTGAAGAGCACGAGATTCATGGGAATGACACCAGGTTCCATATTATAATCCTCCAGTTGATCTTCCATATATTTCTTTAATGCACCAAAGTCTGATAGATCTTCATAAACTTCACCATCCTTCATAAAGTCACCTGGATAATATAACAGATTTGTGACGCAAATTTCTTCTTTCAAACCTAATCTCCTTAAAGTCGTCTTAAACATGGAGTAGAAACGCACTAGATTTCTATCAGCATGCATGCACGGATTTTCATATCAAACAATTTTGATAAATATTCGATTTTACAGATCGAAGCTTTGCAAAATAAAATAACCAGTGGTGTTTCCTACACAACAAAGCAATTCTTATATTTTTTGCCAAAAGGTACACTAGAGATTGTCATGCTTCTCAGCTACCTCGGCATATATTACAAATTTCTAGATCATCTCAGAATTTTAAATCTCAACTTCAGGGTTCGTACAGGTCAGGAAGGGTTAAGTTCAAGGATTTTTCAACGACTTTCAAGGTCATGTATCAGGAAATTCAAGGCTGAAAAGAAGGCGTAGAAATCGACAGTAAAAAGTGACGTTAAACTGTTCAAACAGCAACGTTAATGAATTTCGAACAGCTTTGGCCATTGTAAGACATGAACAAAATCAACCTCGTACCCAGGGTTCTCTTTGTGCTGGCCGGCCAGCACAAAGAGAACCCTGGATACGAGGTTGGAACAAAATCAACTTACAAAATGACCCAATTCTTAATGCCAAACAATTTCAGAAAATATCCACTAAAGCAAGAACAATTTAAGGACTTTCAAGTACTTCTTTATAAACTCAAGGACTTTTAAGGTCTCGAATTTTACTTTCCATATTCAAGGATCTTCAATGATTTTTAAGTTTTGTTACGACCCCTGCAACTTGGATCTCGGATTTTCGGATTTCCATGCAATATCCGGAAAATACATATAGATATAATACAAATATAGAACCACGAATAACCAATGAGTAACACAAAGTACGATAGATGATGAGCAATTTATAAAATGATCTTTGAATCATTTTTGCAAACCTATGCCAATTGTATTGCCGCACAAGAGACGTTTCGCTTTTGACACATTCAACTAGTGAAAACCTGATAATCATACAGATTTTTGATATTTAACTCACCAAATATCGGAGGTTGTTTGTTAGGACAAAGATTGTGAAATGTCAGATCAAACAATGTTCCCAGTTTATCACTGATTAAAGTAATGAAGGACTCTTTATCATATTCATCGACTAGACGGTCTGAAAACACCCTATACAAGCGAGAAAATGTTCGAATATATAGTTATAAATAACTTGAGTGTTGGATTCCAGTAGTGTAGGGAGCGATAAACAAAATGGATCTAATTGTCTAAAAAATATAACTCATAGATCCCAAGGGTATAGTGCAAATCTTTCACGACTACAATGCATGAGCTTTGGGAATTTGTCTATGGCTATGATTTCTTACTTTCTATCAATAGCAATTCAATTCTTTTCGCACGAAAATAATTTTCATATATCAGGAAATCTATCCTTTCTTATACTCAACGTTTTCTACAATCCAATAAACAGTTGAGAAAAATATTCCATATTTCCAACTCTGACCTGATTTTATACCAAAGTTGACTGTAATATTCTATGGAATTAAAAGAGAACTAAAATGTACCTGAAACATTCATGGACCCACAGTCTGGTCATACTTGGCTTTGTATCTTGAAAATCTTTTCTTGCACGAAGAAGACCTTGAAACACCTGCGATAAAATAAATGACTATTACACCACATCATAAACACGATGAACTGTTTGAACCGTTCTAATCAAAAACATAAACTAACCTCTCTGTTCAGGTTACAAAGAGATGCCGCCATTAATATCAACTAACATTTCAAATATTTACCTTTGAAATATCTCGCAAGTTAAACAGGTAGTGGATTTTCGTTGGGGTCGGCAGCATTTTGGCTACAATTGTATTATACACGTCGATGGTGGCCTTCAAAAGAATAAAACATTAAAAACTATACAAATATGACACATAAAAACTTGCAATTCTCAATAATAATTCATGAAAAAATACCAAGGAAATCTTGACCGTGAAGGATATCTGATTTATATAAATTTCAGGTACACTTTGTCACCAAATAGCATTCACGTCTAATTTATACATTATGAATTATGGGAAATTATTCATCAACACGAAATACAAGTGACATTTAGCATGTACGTCCGTGTTGTACAATTATAGTACTACCAGCTGGCTAGAGTTTTCATCTCAGATTGTAACAATTAAACAATCAACCGTTTTAAAGGATCAACGCTCAATTGATTTGCAAATTTTGTAAACTGGAGTTATAGAATAGGTTATACGGTTTTGAAATACACTCTGTACCTGTGTCATTATGTCACCCAGTGGCTTGACTTCCTCTTCAAAATCTTGTAGCTTTTGATTGATCATTGTACCAAATATTCTTTTGATTTGACTTTCCTAACACAAGAGATATAATGAAGGATAAACAATGCAGAATTGTAATACAGAATTGTTGTTAGAGAAAAAGGAGGTGGGATGTAATTGAATCCCTACCCATCTGCAGAGAAGAACTGCATTATGTTAACCTCGAGGATAACTACACCCAAGAGTCTGCCAATGTTACAGAAAATTATACAACAAATTAGTCTGGCTACAAGATATTTTGTACCTGTAGCGCTAACTATGTACCTACTCTGTTTCCGAGTGAATTCCCTGGTGAATAATTTTATCTAGTTTATACATAACGTTATGCAATGTGTGTAGACAGACGAAACATAATCTAGAACAAAATGGTACCTGTGGGAAACACATATTGATCAAGTTGAACCTGCTCTGTAAACGACGAGATATGACCATTCTCCCACCACCTGGTAGACCCATAGCACCAAGTAAATGCATATCCTAAAAATATCCAACCATGATTATGTTCACCAAATACCTTTCTAGTACAAGTAGATAAAACACTGATACTAGAACCATGTTTACTTAATATAATGACCAAATCCCTTTTTTATAGTACAATAGAAATGATTAATAAAACAGCGTTTTTGTTTATTTGTAAAATTAGTGTAATTCCTTTCTCATGCTTCTTCATGCATGCATGATATTATCTGTCTTTATCCTCCTGCGAGAACTAGAGTACAGTATAAAGAACTACTCAACTACAGTGAAATACAACAGGTTTCGACCAAAAACCATAATTGCTTTAGCTGAGTTAAGTTCATCTCGCGTAAATCAAACTTTGTCATGAAGTGCTTACAAAAGTATGTGAAGGACGTTTACAGTACTCTGTTCAAACTTACGATACTTCACTTCATAGTGTCAACAATCTGTTAAAACTTAAAGTAGTGATTTTTTGACGCCTTACCTTGACATGTTTTACAGTCTGTTTCAATCTATCGTACCAAAATCCATAATCCACCCACTGCCTGATCAGTTCGAGCGGAGGTTGTGACCCAAATGTATCTTTTGCAGGCATGTTGAAGTCATCCAGAAACGTCAGCAACTGCTTACCGCCGATAGGGACGTAGACACCTGAAATAAACGTAATTCAGAATTCTTCAATTATTTAATACTTGATTTATATTATATACACGAAGGTAATTCCCGTTGTACTTTTTCTTCCAAATAGCACGTTAGGACTTCTTTCTGATCACTAAAAAGTGGTGTACCATGCAAAAACACTTTCAGAACTTCACACACCTTTTGTTCTTTTCTCCACTTTACTCTCGATGATATCTTGAACATTGTTTGAAGTAGTCTAATTGTAAAAAGTAGAGTTTAGTGGTAGAGTCTAAGTAACTGGGGTGAGATGAGAGTGAAGATGAAATGGCACGCGTTGCATTCAATGGAGATGGGATCGTGGGAATGCTGACATGAAAGAGACTTGACATCAACTCCCCCACACACACACACACATATACCCCCCCGGAGCCGATTTTAAGAAGCTAGCGAAAATGACGGACGATTTTGAGTAGATATGCTTAGCCCAGGTCCCTCTTAATGATGCAACACAAGTTCATGCATAAATGATCAGCAGGACCTTATAGTCGACAACAAGAATGGTACGGATCACAATCGTAATCGAAAAACCACACCGATTGTAACCTGCGTATCTCTGCGATTCTTGCGATTTACTTGAAGCCAGGCTTTCAACCGCGGTGTAGATCCCTTGACGTGTAAATTTTATCATGTAGCTAAGCTTATCATACATGAGAAGACATGTCGAGGCCCTTTTTAACAGGTATACTAGTATACTAAATATCTCTTTTTGAATCACGACCGGTGTATAATCGTACCTGAGCAGACATGTTGACAGTTAAGAAAGAGTAAGTCTTCGGATCCAGTCGTGATAGCACACCCTGAGCAACTGAAGTTTTACCAGTACCAACAGGTCCGGTTAGTAAGACAGGTCGATGAGCTTTGATGAGGTTATACACTAGGAAATCATATCGTACTGTGTCCACGGTTGGTACTGTGATTTTGTAAAATGGCTCACTAAAGGAATAAACAACTTGAATTTGTACGGCAGTAACGTATTTGGAGCACACATGGGCTATGGGCTAATCCCCACTGCCAGCTTCATGTATACAAGAATTAGTCTACGCCCAAGTACGAACTAACCTGGGATTATATCTCCAACCACTTCTTAGTTTATCTTCCCAAGAGGCCCACGTGTGTTGCTTTATATCAACATGATATTCATATACGGTATCCTGAGAAAACAACGATTAAGAAGTAGCATTGAATAAAACAAATCAAAACCTGAGTTGACGACGTTGTAGAGTTATAATAGAACGCGCGGACTTGGAGTAATTGGTAAGTGTAGATTAGCTACTTGGTCAAATTTTTGTTAATTCTGACGTTTTGACTGAAATCAATAGATACCAGAGTTGCCATGCAGCGGAAGAGGCTAAGAACAATAAAACCATGCATCGATTGTCAGGGTCCACGAATTTCGTCAAGAGTCATAAAAATGTTTTTGCCCTCAACTAGTCAACAAAATTTTACGAGCCCGCTGTGGAAGATCAGCTGCAGAAGTGTGGTATCATGATCCTCCTATTCACTCTTCCTTCTTTACTACAATGCCCATACATTGACTTATCATGCATGCGCATTTAAAGTATTTCCTTACTTTGCTTGGAAACTGCCCCTCAAGTTCTCTTAAGAAATTGTCCATCTTCTTACGACTGTCTTCGTCCACAGTTGCTCCAATTGACCAGATGAGAGAAAACAAGAACCACAGTTCTATCATGCGCGGGTAGTTCTCATCGCCTGGATGTACCTAAAATCATTCCCAGATAAAAAGCCAAATTTTAAACTGCTGTTACGAGCATTGTTTCTAAACATTCTTTCTTAAGAAACTTTTTGTCCACGTCCTATTTATAACTTCCTGCTACACATTAGCAGCCGAACTGAAATGTCAACTCGGGTTCAAAATCAGCCCTTGAATAACGAAGGTATGTAATTATTCAGTCGCTTTAACAAAACCAAAGTGTACAAAAATATCATACAGTCCAGCCTCGTACCAAGGCCTCTACATAGAGATTGTGATGAACGCAAGCATGCTTGTTGAGGAGGGCGATAGACTTCCCCAAGCACCCCCACACGTGTTCATCTCGAGCTTTCACCTTTGCTTTCAATGAAGGATTATTCGAGTTGATTCTATATTTTTTTATAATTTCACAGAATTTTATTCCACACTGTACTTACTCCATTCTCTTCCGTGGCCAAGGCATCAAACAACGCACACAAGGAAACAACAGAATTCTGTTCTGATGTCGGGATTGGTTCCTTGCAGTTTTTACGACGGAAAATAAGACAATTTTCCACAAACTTATCAAACAGCCTCTGTAAATGTTCGATCGATTTCTACATTGAAATAAATTTTAGTTTAGATTCTACAGATTTTAGTTCAAGATTCAATATCAAGATTCAATACATTGAGTTAAAAGTTGTGTTGGTGCGAAAACCGTTAGTTGTCCGGTTCAAGAGAGGACCGGATCGCTCATCAGCGAAGCTGAATTCCTGATCCAGTATGAAACTGGACCGGAAAATAGTTCGTGCATGAAACAGGAGGCAATAACCACATGAAAACGAGACCATCGGGCCAAGAGTGCAATAATCATGTAATAATCACTGCAGTCTACTACACCATACAACTACACATTTAGGGCACAGAATATTTTTTGACTCTTCTTTGTACGAACCTTATCTTGTCTTCTACTCAACCATGAATCAACATAAGGTTGCCATCCCAGATCAACAATATCATTAAACACCATTCCACAACGACTGACTGTAGCTGGGGAAGCAACTGCGAGATCTTCTACTTCAAATAACAAAGAAACCTACATGCACATGAAGAAAAAGTCATTTAAGGAAAAGGCCGCATATAATCCCCAGCACTCCTACTGAAATTCATCCAATGGCATTTAGACTGACGATGAATTTCTGAACGAGTGCCAAAATTCTGCAACCTGTAGCATGGGGCGTTGTTGGATGGTAACAATTTTTAAATTTTTTTTAAACAAATATTAAGATAAAAAATGTATTAATATTAACAGGATTGATGTTGGTACAACTAGATTGATGTTGGGCATTAGTTCATTTCATCCTTTACTAACATATCTTACTGTGGTCCAACAAAGTTAATATTTTTGTAACGTCTTCATATAGGTAACGGCGAATTACTGTTATTACTATGAGAAGTATGATGCCTTTGTCTGAGCGATTGGACCAAAATGAGATAAAGCATTGCTAATAATGAAAAGGTCCATTTACAATAGATATTATGGTGGAGGACGTACCTGGTCTGGCATAGCAATACGTTCTCCATTTATCAACGTTAGTACTTTATTATCATCCATAACTGAGTTCATTGATTCAATCCATAATGTATCAACAGGACCATCAAAAACAATCCATTTTTCGTCAGGCTTTTCATCTAGATGTGAAATATATATATGAATGAACAAAACAAACATCAGTCAATTGACTCACTAACAATTGATTACTCTTTGTGCATACAACTGAAATAATATACGTCTGCTCTCGAGGGAAATAGTTTCGTTTTCCAGAGAGTCTCAATCGAGTGAGTAAGTGGGGTGTGCTAATCATCCTTACTTGCAGCTGAGAGCTAAGCTGAATTACGAGGGACGCAGCTCAACCTGATCGAGTCGAAGGCTTTCTAAGTGCGCCTATGGCAGCCACCCTATGACTCATGTCTGATCACGGAGCACAGCTACGGTGGAAGGGTCAGTTAGGGGGCTAATCCCAACCCACCCTGTCAACATTCGCTGTGGGAGGAAACCAGAGTACCCGGAGAACCCACGACTTTCGGTAGAGCGTTGACTCACTCTTTTTCACAAAGTGTCATGCATGAGTCCGTAGCGAGAATCGAACCCACGATCATAGAGATGAAAGATGATTACTCTGACGATTGCGCCACCGAAGCCGCCTGTCTCCTAGCAAAATGTCGCCAATCACTTCCATACATAGGCAGGGGCAGAGCAAATTCATGAATCTCAAGGTATATGCAACTTAAGGAAGAAGGTATTCCATGGAAATTATTGCTATTTACTAATTCACTATAGATTCTGATTAGTTGAAAAGAGTTGAACTATTTCATTAATTGTACTGCTCTACGCAGGGCTTGGAAACGAACTTGAGCAAAAATATTCAGAATGGTGTATGAATATGAGTGCACATGAATTTCGAGGAGTTGAATCCAAAAGTGTTATCCTGTCATCGTTTTGGTGACAAAATAACACTTTCGGAGTTGATTCAATTCCTTGAAATTTACCTTCTAGAGCAATATTAAAGAAAATCGTGAATTTGACAAAAAATTCAAATACTATACTTCTCAAATCCTTAATTGTACCAACCTCGTCCCCACGCTCTCGTAATTGTACTCGATTCGAAGCGCGGCGATCAATGATGTTTCTGTTCACACCATGGGTGCAGATGTCACCAGACGAAACATTATGAAAACATATTCACTCACCTGAACATGTTTGTCTCATCACGCTAGATAAGACACCATCCGTCCATTCGTTTGTATTCAAATCGAATTCACCATACAACTCACCAAGAGATAACGCTTTTGGATTCAATGGATATTCCTGGTAAAAACAAAGCGAAATGTCAGTTCTTTATTTCAGTAGCCCATGCGGTCGCGGACATTACATGACGACGGGGGCGTCTCCACTTAATAAATTCAAGAAGCCTTACATAATAGCTTTAGCAATCTGCTTACAACCATGAAAGCCTGATAGGCTATTATTTGCAGAATTTTGCATTAGATCTGAATCGAAAAGTCTTGATGAGATTTGAGAAAATGAGAGTTGCAACGCCAGTAACGTCCCGACAAACGACCTTCGCTCGAAACGTTGAAGTTCTCGTGAAACTCAAAATCACTTCTTCACTGCTCTGACAATATTTTAATCTAAGAATACCTGTCCACCTCATCTATGTAACTATGAAGTTTCTACATAGTCAGTTAAGTACAAAATAGTGTTACTTGATGTTCTCAGCAGTGTACTATAGTAATTATTATATAACTTGTCTTACCCAAATAAGTCGAGGTTTAACGTCTAGTGCTCTGACTAATATCATAATTCCTGCTCAGCCTTTATCGTTTCATAATCCTGTAACGAGTTCGTCGCATATCTGGCTTGGAATCCCGCGTGGACCAACGTTTCTTAGTATCTCGAATTGGGCATCCCAGTAGCTCAGTAGTCACATCACACCCTTGTACACAGGGCGTCTGTGCTTGCAACACACGCAAGGTTGGTCACGACACTGTATATCAAAGTGACTAAACCAGAGACCCTAGACCCCGTTTACACTGTACCGAAATTCCCTGGTCACGACATCTTCGTTTGCTGCCCAGGAGCTTAACGTTTAACAACAAAAGTTTACTCTTTCGATAACTTCCGTAGTTTCTGCTTGTTACTACCATTATAAATGTTTAGCTATTTCATTGACTGTTAAAACTGATGTCGTGACCAGCGAATCCGGTACAGTGTAAACGCGGGGCCTTAGATTCGATACCCAGAACGTTCAGAAAGGTAACATAATTTGGAGAGCAAAAGATGTACGTACCTTGACTAAGTTATATCCAGCAACTCCTTCTTTCTTCATTGTAGACAGAACTTGTTGTAGCGTCAGCCAACTTACACTTTTACCAGAACCAGTTTTACCAACAATCATTGTTGAATGTCTAAAAATGGAAGAACTTTATCAACACCACGAGAGCATTCCACAAGAGAGTATACATACAATGATGTCACAACAATACGTTTTAAAGGTAGTCTGTAGGTTATGTATTGAACTGCAACTAATACCGGGGGCAAGTGAAGCTACTTCTATGGTATTTACATGTATCCTAAACCACCTTGTCAGATTTCTTGTGCGACGAGTACAATGACAAGTAGCAGTCAATGCATGAGAAATCCACGACTTTTGATATAGAGCGCGCTTACTGATTTTTCCCCATTGTGCAGAGTAACTAGTATGTACCTTGAGTTTTTAGTTTCATAAAGCTGAATAATTTTTAACACAGTTGTAGGATGTTCTTGTAAGGCAGCCTCCTTTAATTCCTTCACAATCACATTTCGGAGCTAAAAACAGTAAATATGAAATTGATTAAAACAAAAGTATAGTTTCATTATATACACCTACATGCAGTATATATATAATGAAAAATTGAAATCGTGAAGATAGGTAAATAATGCATGTACCTTTCCATAATCAATAACAGGTGCCTCAATTCCTGGGAAAAGATCTTGAACTATACCCAGGAAGAGTGGCAAATCTTGAGATGTTAACTTTGCAATATTCATGTCACGCATTGACAGTAAGAGAACCTACAGCAAGAAAACTTAGTTTTATATTCTGCATAAAAGAGGAGTAACAGTCAGTCAGTTATTAAGTCAGTCATTCATTTTTTGACTGGAAATTATTGTCAGCGATAAACCTAAAGATGGAAGGTTAAAACCGAACCAAGAGGACTGAGTGCCGGGCAACGTCAGTGAAGACGTAATTTACTCTCCAAATTTACTCTCCAAGTCAAGGGTGATTATAAATTGTATTCTCTTGAGCATTCTGGTGCGCCGCAGTTGTTCAAACTGCTACGAACTGCTACGTGATTTACATCATTTTCGCGGCTCGATCATAATCAGGCTTAGTGGCTTAAGGTGGCTCCCTAGGGTTTTTGCATTACGACACTACAGTATCCAGGAGACTCCTGTTTCTTCACTTTACATGACATGAAGACGAAATTTATTGGACAAATTGACAATGCTCTCCTGAACATTGCAATTTGCTATTTTTGTGTTGAAAGTATGTTACCATGGCAACAGCATGCTTAGAATAAAGCTCAAAATTTGTCTTTTTCAGGCCATTTAAAAATTCCCTTCGGTAATTTTTTTGAAACTTTGCAAAAAGATATAAATACTGGTATGATTTTTTTTCTTCAATTTTAAAAAAATCTATCGATACGTTTCTTAGAAAATTTAAAAAACGTCAAAAATCAATATTAAAAATTTTCCCTTCGATAGAATTTTAAGAAAAAAGGATATTGCACCAACCTCGTTCCCAGGGAAGATCCTGAGTACGAGGTTGATATTGCACTTGTTGTGCCGATATTAAGAAATGTGCAAAGTTTTAAAAAATATTACCGAAGGAAAAGGGAGAAATTTAGGTTTAATTTTGGCATTTTTTACGAGATGTGACGAGAACAATTATCACATCTGACGTGTACATGTATTTCGTAAGCAACAAGGCATGATTCTTTTTTTAAATTACAAAATATAAATTATGTTTGATATACTGTTTTACTGTGTCGGTTAATGGTAAAATTGGCAAAGATATTTAGGTAATCACTGGTTATGACTTGTTGGTATTAATTTGAAAATGTTTGTCAAAATTCGTCCCGCACGAGTTAGTGCTATGTTTTTGTCCGATATTTTCGTAAAAAGCCCGTTCAAATTTCAGTTTTTATGGTGGTATGTTTGTGGAGTTTCGACCCTGCTCATTTCACTCGTAGAGGGCTCATTATTTAAGTCATCTTTATTTTATAAGTATCGTATCCCTATGTTCGCGATGCGACCCTCGCGTACGGCGGTCAAAAACGTCCAGAATACCGCTTGAAAAAACAAATTTACATTATCTTATTCTAAAACATCACGTCCAAGTATCGTTCTGGCTTTTCGAACTCTTTTAATGATTTTAACTAAAGCAAAGTTCACACATTTGTTCGTTCGTATTTTGAAGTTAATACATGCACGCAACACTTTACATATATATATATACGAAGAACGTAAGCCCCGGGAATAAAACCCTAGGGAGCCACACTAGACGATTTTTGAGACGATCGTCAAAACAATTCGCGACACATGCGCAGTTGAAAAAAATATTCGAAGAGCGATCGTCTAGCGCTCGACGAAAAGTAGGATTGAGTTCTACTTTTCTTCGAGCGCCAGACGATCGCCAAATTTTTAACCAATAAGATTCCGCGCTTTTTTTCTTGCTGCTAGTTTCTCTAAAGGCCGTTTTCCACTAGGAGGGATAATCCGCGCGGAGCGGAATTTTTCTTTGTCTTGTGATTTCTCGGGTGGAACTAATTAGAAAAGACAAAGAGAAATTCCGCTCCGCGCGCAAAATATAGGGAATTTTCGAATGTAAGACGGCGACGTCAGGACGACGGCTAAACAGACTATTTGAAATTTTATGATTGTATGGAAATCTTGTCTTGTATTTTCTTTCGTATGAATTTAAAATAGTTTCGAACGGGTAAAACAGAGCTTTAACCTTCAGAGCAATTTTGATCAACTCTGCTAGAAAAACTACCTGTTACGCCGTGAAACGCTAGCGTACTTTTCAGGACGTGGAAATATGCCTTTTGCGGTTGTCAACAGAGTATGGACGACGTCTAAAACCCCTACTAAAACTTTTAATTATTCATTTCTTTTGTGCTATAGGATTAATGTCATTGTATTGATAGCCGTCGTCCTGACGTCGCCGTCTTACATGCGTAAACTCCCTAATTCCGCCCAGTGGAAAACGGCGATCGTGACGATCGATCGCGAAAACGGCGATATGACGATCGTCATAAAAATCGCGCCTCAAAAATCGTCTTGTGGAGATCCGCTTTAACGGTTAAAACGTTCGAAGACATGGGGGTGTTTTATATGAATTCACATGATTATTGCCACTTACGAGTTGTTTGTAAAGAAAGATATTAAGTACTTTAAGTGGCAAATAAAGGTTAGCAATGCATGCATGTATGCTTTTGTTCGTATACAAAAACGTCAGTAATGTTGACAGTTGCCAAACTCTCTACCGACGAAAGGGACTTGTTTGACACACTCAGGGCAAACAAACCTTAAAAAAACATTGTTTGAAATTTCTTATAATTTTGTAATAATTTATCTTATAATTACAGGGTCGTAACGTTTCGTCCGGTTTGCAATTTCTTGTTTTGTAAAGATGTTATGGCATTTGAACGAAGATTTAATATACGCTTTATCTTTCAACATCGATTTTCATACCTTGATCACAGACAATCGAGAATTCCTCTCAATCGTCTACGGCTTGATCAGAAGACAGGACAGATTTGTGCATGTGCAGTGTGCGATACAACATTCAGATTTAACATGAAGTATTAATCTATTACCTCTTCATCGGACATGTCAGGATTTGATCTCTTCTTTCTACCAGCGTAACGCAGAACTGAAGTCAATGCTCTCAGACCAAAATCATAATGATCTTGTTTTGACAATTGCTGAACTGCCAGCGAATATAATGTATGCACTTTCTTTGCTAAAACCTGCATAAAAAAATGTATGCCATTGTGCTATACAGGGTGTATAAAAAAAAAGGAGACCTTTAGAAATCAAGCATATTGTTAAAATTTGAATGCCTTTTCAATTGCACATATGCTGAACCATAGTGCGTGAAATATTGATGGGTGCATATATTAGAAAAAGGAGACCTTTAGAAATCAACCATTGTTATAATTTGAATCCTGGAGCACTTTGCTAAGCCCACGAGTGCGTAACATGCGATCTACGTACAGTCGTACAGTATGCATGGCAGATTGTTCCCAGGAGCAGACAATCTTTTGTTTAAACGTTATTTCAATTTCTAAAGGTCTCCTTTTTCTAATATATGCACCCCATCAATATTTCACGCACTACGGTTCAGCATATGCGCAATTGAAAAAGCATTCAAATTTTAACAATATGCTTGATTTCTAAAGGTCTCCTTTTTTTTATACACCCTGTACAGTACACTATAGAAATTATTCTATTGTTATAATTTGAATGCCCTAGCACTAAGTTGATCCCACAGGTGCATAAACTTCTGCTTCTGGAATTTAAAATAAAAAAGCAAACCGTTTATTAGTGTAATCGTTTTGCTTGACTCGGGCGTTAAAATATTTGGACAAAGCGAAAACGTTTTAAAATAAAAAGTGACTTTAGAAATTACTTATTAATTGTTATAATTTGAATGTCTGAGTCCTATACTGAACCCATGGGTGCGTAAATACAATTGAATCGAATTTTACGCACGGGAAGTTATTTAAATGTTTTTGGTATTGTTCAAAACTCTTTGCTCTGTATAGTCATGCAGTTGAACCATTTTTAATCGAACTGAGTCAACGGGACTAATCTTAAGTCGTTTTAACTTTCAATTAGAAATTTCATGTACAATTTATGCAGTTTTAACATGCTGGTATAGAGACGTAGACGTACGATTACAATGCATTCTAAACTCCCAGAGGTAATGAAGTTTGGGTGTTTACAACAAAAGGGTGATTTCTATATATGCAAAATACGTGACGTAATTAGTGCGGGTAGTATTATGGACGTCGCGCCCCTTAACAACAAGAGCAACTATTAGAGTGTCGCCCCCTAACAACAACAGCAACAGCAACAACAACGACAACGACACGATTATCATTAGCAGTGAATGGGGACCAGTTCCTGGTCCAAAAACAGCATTTCACCAAGTGTTTATCGCCGAAAGTCCTAATGTCTGTATGTATAGTAACAACCTCCTGACGAAGGGTTCGAATCCAATTAGATGTCACGCCACCTTAGTCTGCTTAAAATAGTACGTGTGGATTTATAAACCAGGGAAAACATACTTGGTCATGTGACTAAATAAATGTAAATCTTTTCGTATGCAAATCTTTTTCAACACAATATTTTACATTAAAACCTCGTGAAATATGCCAGCTAACGGTTTGATATTGTTCGCGTTGAGTTTTAGGAAGAATAGCGACTTTAAAGTATTTAAACGTATTTTGGTTCTGGCCACCATGTTGGATGACAAATTTAAGTCTTCAACATGTGGTCAAAAACAAAAATGCATATTTAAAGGATGTTCGTTTCTGGTAAAACACGGCAGACACAATATCAAACCGTTTTTTATACGTTGGTTTAAGGTTTGGGCGTAAAGATTGCTTTGAAGAAGTTTTACATGTATTAAAAAGTTTAGTCACCTCAGTGGCATACAATCACAAACATTGCGCAAACATTCGTTTACTATATGTTGACAAACCTTGGTATTATTGAAACCTTCACCAAACAAAATAATCTCAGCAATCATGGCAGAATCTGGGACAACCATAGATATTGGTCGGAACATACTTTTCAAGTTGTCTGGAAGCTCAGTACGACCAGCATAACCTAAATTAAGTTACATTTGTCAGCCACGGAAAGTGTGTTTATTTTCTGAATTATTTCTTGTCTTGCTAATATATTGCTAGTTTGCTTATTTGGTTGTTTGTTAACTTTGTTTGTTTGTTTGTTTGTTTGTTTGTTTGTTTGTTTGTTTGTTTGTTTGTTTGTTTGTTTGTTTGTTTGTTTGTTTGTTTGTTTGTTTGTTTGTTTGTTTGTTTGTTTGTTGCTTGATTTGTTTGCCTGGTTGTTTGTTTTTTTGTCGTTTGTTTTATTGCCTTTGCTGTTAACGTTCAGAAGAATAAGACTTAAGCCCTGGTCAAACGAGAACGCAAGTCATCGCAAGTTTTGGCTTGCGCTTGCTTGCGCCTCGTTTGACCACCAACTTGCGTTGACTTGCGAATGATTTGAGCTGGTTCAAACTTCATCGCAAGCTTTTTTAAACTTGCGAGCACTTGCGATACGTTTGATCACGAAGTCACAGAATAAGAAGGTACAGCAGAAGCGTCACTCAAGCAAATATTTGTCCGCGTTTTTACAAGCGATTCGTCATCAATCACGCCATCCTGGCTAGTACAACCGGCACTTTCTACCTACCAAAACCTGATAAAAACTTCCGGTTGTACTAGCCAGGATGGCGTGAGCGAGTTAAAATTTTCGTGGACGTAAAACAATAAGGGAACCGACCCGAGTGACGCTTCTGCTGTACCTTCTTATTCTGTGACGAAGTGCAAGTTCAAGCAAGTTTTTTGACACCAGTTTCCATGGAAACCAAAGGAAACCATAGTCCCTAGTTCCCTGCTCTCTCACGCTGTTATAAAAATGACCTTTTTCTGGTCTTCGCTTAATCCATTATCTTGTTTTTCCACGTTTCCAAGAGACGTTTCGTCTTCATCAAGTAGAGAAAATAACACAATGATATGGCAGCTTTTCGCTTCATTTTACATGGCATTTTCAAAAGTTTTGACATTCGTTTTAAATGGGTTTGAATGGCGGCCATGTTTTGTTCACATTTTTGCAATATTACAAAATTACCCGTACGCAGGCCAAATATTGCGAATTGTTGCGATAACTTGCGTATCGTTTGATCGGTCCCATCGCAATTCAGTGCAAGTTAGTACAAGTTTACTTGCGATGGCTTGCGTTCGCGTTTGATCAGGGCTTAAACACAAGCTCCTGACATTTCTTCCCAGTACATTTTGCGATTTGTCGAGGCCAGTGAGCTCCATATATCTGGAGCAAGAACTTCAGTCATTCGGCCTATAAGAAATGTGAAGCCAAGATGGCGGCCATTGACGTCCAATAGCTCTGAAGGTCGTAAACAGTTTTTATATATTTTTTCCCAGCTAATTCCAGTTTTTTCTAACGGACCGTATCGCTAACCAACTCAGTTCATAAAACCATAGTGCTATTCTTTAAATCGATATCAAAATACGACATTTCGGCACACTCCTTGCCAAGATGGCGGAAATTGCAGGAGCTATTGGACGTCAGTTCCAGTCCCTTTCTATTGTTTTTGTCTGCGCGGTGGCTTCACTTTTTGGACTCAAGTTCTCGCTCCAGATATATATGGAGCTCAGTGGTCGAGGTGGCTTAAGATTTTGCTAAATGTCAATGACGTGTATATACTCAGTTCATCGTCAGATGACGTTATCCACCAAATATTATTAGGCGGAGTAGCTCTAAAATACAAAATCGCATTGTGTAAAATGAGAATCCTACCAACCTGGATTCATAGTAATAAAGATACCACACGACCATACAAGGTTGATTTCTCTTCCTTCAAATACAAAACGTGAGAGACCACTGGCAAGAGCGGAGAGAATTGATAAAATTTGCTGAGCTACCACAGACAATACTTCAATGTTGATACGATTGAACTCATCAAAACATCCCCAAGCTCCAGTCTGAAAATATTTTGGAGATTTAAAACGTTTTGAAGTAATTTCGAACAATGATGCATTGGGGCTTCGTCAGGATAAAAAGCCGATGGTTATTTTATTATCAACATTTTCTTGAAAACATCGATAAAGTATAACATAGTAATATATTCAGGAAACTTGGTTTCTTGGTTGTATAAAGAACTAGGGATCCAAGGAAAGTGCAGAGTTTCAAAGACGAACGCTATATTGACATGCTTATTAATTGAATAGTTTTTCAAGCGTGGTTTATAGCTTTAATCACATGTCGATATGACGTACAGTAGTAGCGCGCGTGACTGTTACAACAGTAAAAATGCTAAGATCTGGTTTAAATCTAATACTTTAAGATTAAAGAATGACGAGAGTTATGCAATATTATTTATTTCCTCATATAATATTAGTCACAGGGCATAATTTCTGTTATAATGTTGTAAAGTTTCCAATTGAAAACGACACTATATAGGGTCGCCGGCAACCTAGGTGACTTGTTTAAATCTGTGATTATTCCCACCATCCTTTTAGCGCCCATATTGTACACTTTGGCTTTTGTCTCAGTGACAACTTGAGAAAATAGCTGTATAAGATATGTTATAAATAATAAGCACTACGACGTTGTATTCCATTACAAAAAAGGAACATAAATCTAAAACACAGAAACGTAAATAAGAGGCGAAAAACTCATTAAAATGACGCATTTCATCCGCATTTTATCCCCATATCCGTTCCGTGAATCCGCATCCGCTTTCCGCATTTTAATCTAATTATGACGTGTTCACAATAACAAGTCTCATTGACCTTTGATATATTTCGAAGGTCACGTTGTTGTTTCATGAGTCATTTTCAGCTTTTCGCATGTATTCAATAATGTAACTTTAGATTTCAATAGTTTCACAGTTATTGCAGTGTTTATATAGCAGTTTGACAAGCTTTGATACAGATAGATTCCCGTAAGATCTGGTAGAGTTTTCGTTGCACTGAACACGAGTTTGCACCGTTGTGCTATACACGTAAACAAAGATTTTCTCAATATTTATGTCTGAAATGTTTATACATTTGAAAACACGGTCTCGCTGCTTCCTAGCTCTGTACAATGAATATACCGTCGGCACTTAATAGAATGCCCGTAATGCAAAAAATCAATTTATATATTGCGTAGAATCTCAAAGATTTTCTCAATATTCATGCCTGAAATGTTCATACATTTCAAAAGACAAAACAACACTGTCTCGCTGCTTCCTAGCTTTGTATATTGAAATTGAATATACCGTCAAAATAATATCGGTACTTAATTGAATGCCCATAATGCATAAGTCATAACATCAATTTATATTTTGCGTAGATTCTCAAAGATTTACTCGATATTCACGTCTATAAAAATGTTTATAATTTGAAAACAACACTGTTCGGCAGTGTCGCTCCTTCCTAGCATCGTCATTCGTCACGCCATCGTGATCTACAGCTTGATAGCACATGCGCATTTGCGCTGCTAAAAAAAAAATGGGTGTTCCGGGGGAAAGATCTTTCACACAACACGGAGAAGCAAATGTTATAAAATTGACAAAAATTTGCAATAACAACAATTCCTGGAAATTTTTGTGAACTTGGCAAAAGGACAAAATAAGTATTTAAATAAGACAACTGAAATTGCTTAAATAACCTTCAAAGCACTGACTAAGTAGAATAAATCACCACGACGATAAATCGTATACACCCCCCGGAAAGTTTACTCTAAGATATCTGATGTATGACAGATGTGAATTTTCGCCACTCATCACAATAGTGCACAGTTTCAAAGAAACTCTGCACTAAAAATTAAAAACAAATGAAAATTCTTTACATTCATTAACCTTTCATAAAATTTCCCGCCAATTTGTAATTTCACACAAAGCACCGCTGAAATATCTTCGGATCCATCCAATAACCTAGCGCAAGTGTGGTCGAAGTACTGGAAACTACATATGTTTGCTAAAGGAATCGTTGTTGCAGTTTTAGTATGCCATTTTACTAAACCCTTGCTGGTAGTATTCCAAGGTCGTTTTCATCATTCTGGTGCAGGGAATTATACTATTAGAAATTGTACTCTGCCTTATAAAAGATGGCGTTGTTGTACTGAACATGCGCGAAAATTGCTCGGGTTTTCAGCGGGAGAAGATGCCTGCTTCCACTTCCTGATTTAAAAAACATAAACAACATGAACGAAACCTTCGAAAGACAATTTTGTAGCCAAAAATCACCACAAAAATTGGATTCACTGACAAAAAATGTTGCAGTAATAATTTGATTTCCTCTATTGTCACATATTTTACAATGTAAACTATTAATATACACTTAATGTCTGCTCCCGAGGGAAAGAGTTAGTTTTGTTTTCCCGAGAATCTCAATATTTCCCGAGACGAAGTCGAGGGAAACATTAAGATTCGAGGGAAAACAAAACTAACTATTTCCCGAGGGAACAGACATTAAGTGTTTTGTTATATAGCGACGAACAAAAATCAACTTTAACAACATTCATACAAAACAATTGTTTTTCGTGACAAAAACTCTATAGCGTAAACGAGTTTAAAATTTTAAAAACCTACTTAAATGGTTTCAGCAGCATATCCTGTTGCCTGTTGTGTATTTTTCTTCTCTTTTACATTCTTTATTTGAACACAAACTTGGAAAATCGTAGTTTCTAATTATCTGAGTTGTGCCTCCATTTTGTTTATTTGTACGTGGCCGGTCGGGGCGGGCAACAATTTTTCACTTGTTGCCCGGCGGGAAACATTGCATTTATCTGAAGTCACGTGACCACAAATCAGCCAGTCACGTTTGGTGTTCACGCTAGCTATGTAACAATATCGGTTATTTCAGTGCAAAACAAAACAAAGCAAAAATATCCTTTTAAAATGGCGTCTGGTAGCATCAATAAAATGTGAAATTCAAACCAAAAATACTAAAACGTCTTCATTTTTTGCAAAGCCAAGAAATTCAATACCGACTTAAAAATGCCTTGAAATTTAATGGAAAAACAGCGATATTTCGTTGGCATGTAACTGTAACATGACAAAATTGTGTTTATAGAATTTTGAATGAGCGAAAATTGTGTTTAAAAATAAAACAAAGTTTACGCTTCGAAATGAGGGTCATCGAAACTCTGATTGGTATGTTAATATTTATCTGTTTTTTAAATACTTTGAAAACCTGAAAATAATATTATAAAACTATTACAGCACATTACATGGCAAAATGTTTATTCTGATGCCCATTTTCTGAGTCGCCTTTTTCGTATAAATCACACTTGCACATGAAATTTGCCAAAATTCAGTACGTTCTTCATTTTCAGTTAGGCAAGTTTACATCCCATTAGCAAAAACTAGAAAGATAAGCATATCTTCTGACCTAATCACATTTCATTGGCACAACCTGCATGTATACATGAAAAAATTAAGATGAAAAACAAGCAATTTTAGCAAAATACCTCACATAATGAAATTTTACGATGATCGTTGGCGCACAGTATCGCACAAAAACCAAATATTTATACTTTGTCAAGGACAACAAACGTTTGTATGCAGCTACTGCCAATTTCAAGTAATATTCCATTAATATTAAGTTCCTGCTCGAGGTTATTTGCCATCAAAAACACACATTTTGCAAGAAACGTCATTTTCGGCCATCTTTCATGGAAGAATTATTGACTGCTAATTTCCCAACAAGTAATTGTGGTTTTGATTAACGCTTACGTTTGCTAGCTTTCTTCTACTTTTCCTCTGCTGCAGTACAACAAACAGGATAGCGAAATCAGTGTTTTCGGTTGTTTTCACAATTTTTGCTGGCAAAAAGAAAGCGTCCGCGATAAATTTGGTCAGCGACAATAATTTTCCCACCTATTTGTAACCCTCCTTACAAAGGTAAAGCTCCATACAGTTATATCAAAGCGGTCAGTGTAGAAACACGCGGATGCATTGACATCATAACAGCATTTGGTAACAGGAGTCATAATTGTTTTGTCTTGGTATGTCTCGAGATAATTAATGTTTACCACCTAGTGTGCCACCTACGCAGGACGTTTCACATTTGGCTTATAATGACGCAATTTTATGTAATACTGGTTTCTGATTGGTTAAGACTTACATAGTTTCACCTGATATCGCACTTATCACCTAATTCCAAGCATTTGGCTTATAATAAATTTGAATCAAATAAGTTTCACATCTATTCTACCACATGTAAATAATAAAATAAATTACCCGGATAAATTGCCCGCTGAAGCGTCGTGTATCTCTGTTTCCGCATTTCTGATCTAAGATATACCATGCATGCATAGCTGCATTGTATATGTGACTTTAGATAAAGAAGTGACTTGGTTAAATAAAGTTTGCCAATCAATCGTCGATACTTTCACAATATTGGAAGAAATAATCGCTTGTTTTTTGTCATTATTTTCTGCCTTAACTTTGGATGCTCCACGAGTTTCTCGGCGACAAACGAACGACACTACAAGTTCTACAAGGGAAGATATGATTCACAGAGAATACGTCTCGTTTGATGAAGATAATCTACCATCAGAAACAGAGTATGTACAAATAGGGTATGAACTGCGAAGCAAGCCTAGTTATATCCAGTCATTACTCAGAAGTTTGAAGGCGAATTTTACCATAACCTTAGATGTACTGCCTTTGGCACTTATAGGAATAGCTTATATATTTTGATTTAAGAACAGTTGATTTATGTTCGGAATGGGAGACTAAAAACACTTTTTCATTGGATATTAAGAGAATAAGATTACTCGGCAAAGGAGTTGCGAACTTGATATTGTATCTCTCCTTTCCCCTGACTTTGATTGTTTTATTTGGTTGGAAAAAATTTAAACGCGATTATTCTTCAACTATCCTAGTGAGCCAACTGGCTGGTTTATTTAATACATTATTTTTAAGTTTTTTGCTCCTATATGGTATTGATGATACCAGTCCGATCAAAAGTTACGCCGTTACGCCAATTTTAACATTTGCTATCGCTGTTCTCTGGGAATCTGCAATCGTGGTGCGCAATATTCAACAAAATTACCTAACTGTATCCTACTCAGGTCGCCATATTTTCTCGGTTCTTACAGTACCGTTTTTGAGCACCTTGGCAATGGCAGCATTTTACAAATACGCGGTTGTCAAGTGGTTTAATTCCCTCCATAATATGTGGTATAGATTCATAATGGCCATCTTGACACTGACATTAGCACTGGTACCGACTACTATATATAGGCACATGGCATTATGGCGTACTTCAGAAATTATCGAGCCAGAACGAAGCTTTGCTTTGGTTTATTTTATACGGGCAATGTTCATTACTTTGTATCGTATCATGCAATCAGGCTTTAAGAATATCTGGCTGTTTGTCGGGCTATCTTTTCTATCAGGTGTATCGAGTTTCCTTAAAACAGCAACTGTTGGTATTCGTGAGAAAGTATGGGCACGAGTTATCAGGTTTCTGAACAGAACTTGCTGTACAAGACTTCACCATTTGCCTGGAAACACACCACATCATAGGCGGCTGAAAGCAGACACCGAAATACAAAATATACTTTTTGAGAACGTTTCACTAATTCTAAGCCAATCGTACATCGTTTTATATACGGTTATAAATTTTCAGCTCTCTGATTGGTCTGTCATGAAGTCATCTTTAACGAGAATTGCAATTGGATTGGTGATTGAATTCTTGTTCAACTTTTTGTCTACTTTTGTTCGCATACATTGGCATAATATTCCCATAACGCGAGTGTATTCGAAGTACTGGAAACGACATGTGTTTGCTAACATTATCGTTGTTGCAGTTTTAGTATGCTACTTTACTAACCCCTTGGTCGCAATATTTCAAAATCGTTTTCATCATTCTGTTGCAGGGAATTATACTATTAAAAATTGTACTCTGCCTTATGAAAACTGGCGTTGATTTCATAAACAGTCGTTTGCAAATGTCTGGTGTGATCTCTGTAACTTCTTTATTATGACTTTAATGTTATCATAGTTTTAGCATTATTGGATGAGGTTGAGTCTAATGCAAAAACTCTTTTATTATTCATTCTGTGACAGTAAGAAATAAAACAAAACCGAAAATTTAAAAACAAATGAAAATTCGTTACATTATTCACTTTATAAAATTTCCCGCCAATTTGTAATTTCACACAAAACACGGCTGAAATATCTCGGGCTCCATCCAATAAACTATACAGATTACTGTTTCGGTTGAAAATAGTGTAGGCACGTAGAAATGCCTAAACTTATTTGTAGGCTTTTAGCCAATAAAAAAACGACAACACAGTACAATGAATAATAATCATAGTAATGTCACTGCATAATAATTTTTAAAGACTTTACCATGAACATGTGAAATTCAACTTTTCAACGTAATCTTGAAATGTATTAATTTATTGTAACATTCACGGCGCCTATATCAATAGCAGTGTCTATCTAGTTCAAGCTGACTAGGGCAATCCTGTTTAAATAAACGTTTTCATCTAACTAGACGCACTATTATGTAGACCCATTAGAGCAACAGACCAATAGCAAAATTTGTATGTAATGAAAGCAATTGACGTTCGTTATTCCACTACTGAGTAGCGCGCTGTTCGTTTCATGCTGTCCGCCAAATGACATGCATCAGGGATGGATCTAACTAGTCGTGGTAGGGGGTGCTGCTCGAGCTTTGGCACTGATCTTACATCCAGGACTGGATAGAGCAATTTTGAAGCCAGAATATTTAGGAAGAGGGATAATTAAATCTGTCACACACTCACACCCCTTATCAAATGGTAATGTGTTTAAATTAGTTATACTAACAAGCAAATATCTTCCACGTAACTTGGAAGATACAGATTACCACACCACTTCTAATGCGTTTTCGATCGTTTTAAACACAACATAATGACACCATATTGGTGTGACTATATTAATTATTCAGTGTCAAATTTTAGGCCGTTCGACGTCTGTGTGTGTGATCAGGTGTTACAGCAAACCTTCAAAGCAGTTATCTTATAAAACTTTTCGCTGGGAAAAGGAGACTGAATTAAATCGCTCTCTTCACGGCCCTCTACAATAGTTACATGACAATTTTTCTTGGAATGCTTTGCCCTGACGTAAATTATGGCGAAGCGCAAAATACGGAGTGGGACATCACTCCTAAGAAGTGTACAAGACAAAAAAAAACATGTTTTTTGGTGATTTTATTTATTTTTGCGATTTTTCAAAAAGGATATTTGTACGATTTTTTCCGAAGGTGCGTGTATACGCGATTTAGAATCAGGCGATTTGCTCCATAATCCCTATCAGCTAAAGGGAATATATTTATAAATGTATAATTTACATACCGATTTCAATCAGTCCACGAACTGCGATGTTTTCGAGTTTCATCAATTTAGACTGAAAAAAAAGCAAGATCCATACTGTGAAAAACATCACTAAATCATTATCATTATTTCCAAATGATGTAAGGACTTCGAAATAAAAATTCCTGTGTTAAAAATTCCATCATGACTAAACGTATTAACTGTTAAACTGTAATAGACTCTAAAAACACTCGTTTGTTATTGCATGTTATTATTTTATATGTCACCTCCGATCATAGTGTGGTTAATGTAACCTGGAGTCTGGTTATATTTGACCAAGAGGTCCTTGTTAAAATAACCACACTATGTTAGGTGGATAGATAACCACACTGTAAAAACTGATAGGTTAAAATAACCAAAAAAAATAGGTTATTTGGTTTGGTCTAGGACAACCCGATAAAAATAGGTTATTTCAATAGGTTAAAAGAACCAGAACTAAATAGGTTAAAACAAACCATTAAAAATGGGTTGGTTTATACCCATAAGAAATAGGTTGTTTTAATAGGTTAAAACAACTAAAATTAAATAGGTTAAAACAAACCATCGAAAATGGTTACTTTAACCTATAAATCTGTAATATGTCATTTTAACGTATTAATTATTGGTTGATTGAACTAAAGATTTATGGTTGTTTTGACCAATTAAAAAAAGTAATTCCAACCTATATTCAAAAGTTAAAATGACTAAAATTTAAACTGTCAAATTGAGCATATTTCAACCAAATAAATATAGGTTGTTTTAACTATAATACAAATGGTACGGATATTCACCAATAATATTTTGGTTGATTTGGCCAATATTTTTAGTTATAACAACCAGTAAATAACGGTCAAAGTCGGAGTACGAAACATCGCGCACTTTCGTTGGTTAAATGATGTTGCGTCAACTGAATAAGATACGCTAAAACGAAATAGCTAAACAATAATTCTGCAGGCAATTAATCATCCAAGTACGCTATAATCAAACAATATTATGAACTGTATATAAAAATATATTTTGTAACATCTAAAATTACAGTAAGTACACAGTAGTACGTTTTGTGTTACTATAGCCTGTGTTCCAGTTGACTACACTGTTACTGACACACAGGCTAAAGAGTTGCATGGTTTTGTCAAGTATTATATATTATCATGAAATCATGGCTAGGCACTTAAGTGCTTAGCATTAATTAGATCGCGATCACCATGCAACCCCGGCCTGTTTGTGCATTCTCAATCTCTCATTATTATAATATGTTACAACAATCGATCGCCATATAATCTTAGTTCTAGCTTGTGTTCTATAGTTCACCGATTGGCAGAGTTTGACCAATCCTTCCCAGCCGAATATGCTCGAGGAACATTGCCAAGGCCATTGAGGTATTCAGCATTAAGAACAAAATACCGTAAACCTCCGACTGTAAGCCCTGGGCTTATATTTTTCCGTAAGCGATTTTTGATGGGCTTATACAAGGAAGGGCTTATATACGGGGGGGGAGGGCTTACACATGGACGATCTTTTGTTTCGATCTCTTATACATGGACGATCTTGTTTGTAATAGTGACAAACAAGTATAGTAATAGTGATAAACAAGTGTTAAGCATACTAGCATAGTAATAATAGTGATTAATAGTGGTAAGTGGTAATAGTGATAAACAATAAATGGTGATAACTGATAAACAAGTGGGCTTATATTCGGGGGGGGGGGCTTATATTTGGAATGAGGTGAGCGTTACTACATGTGGTGGGCTTATACACGGGGGGGGGGCTTATATTCGGGAGGGGCTTATATTCGGGGGGGGCTTATATTCGGAGGTTTACGGTACGCTGCTAATAAGCATGTAATAGTGCTGATTATAGTACTTCCTCTTAATATGGCAACTATACCATATACCCTCTGCAATGAGGGTAAGTGAACTTATCTCTTGTAGAGATCCGGTTGCCAATAGCGGTGTTGAACACGCCTTTATTCTCTCAGTATGCTGGATTTCAAAATCACTCTGCAAACAAAAAATGAGAATATATTCTATATGCATGCAACATTAAGGATCTTACAAGGAAACTTAACATCACTACCAAATATATCCAGGTAGCCTATGTATGTGCATGCATGTTGCAACTGTACTGCACAACAACCAGCGCGCCCTACTTGTTTTTTTTTTAAAGGGGAAGTCAAGTCCGTTCTGCGCATCGGTTCTGCTCATAACAATGTGAGGACCTCTAATGTGAACATTGCCCAAATTTCGAATTTTTCTGAACATAAACTCTATTTCATACTCATTTAGAAGTATAGCGAACCAAAATGGTGTTAGATATTCAGACAGTACATCATATTTTAAAAAATACAGCAGTTCAAAATGTAAACAAACCGTTTGTTTACATTACGGACTTGACTTCCCCTTTAACTTGTCTAATGCCAGACGATTTTACTCGTCAATAGGGAAGCTCTGCAGCTTAATGGGTTTTTAACCAAAAAATCTGACAATGTCTATAGTTAACCCATTAAGCCGCAATGCACTCCAGCATGCCCTACATTTTTTTCTACTTGTCTAATGCCAGACGATTTTGCTTGTCAATAGAGAAGCTCTGCAGCTTAAAGGGTTAATAAGTTCTGACATCACTAATCAGCTAAATGGCATAAAATATACAAAATTGACTTACATTCACAACTTCGAAAAATAGCTCCCCTGGAATTTGTTTGCTTGCTGCCTTTTCAAAGGCAAATGCTGCAAGAATACAGCGGTTTTCCAACTCTACAAAAATCAAAAGGAGATAAATATTTACACATGCCATACATACACACTGCAAAAATGTATTCTCCAAACCTAAATAAAAAGCTTCATGCTGTTCTGCTTAAAATTTTACTGTGAACATTTACAATTCATATATACATGAACTCTAATTAGCTTGATGGACTCTTGGGGCTTGGACTCTCAGGGCTTGAGTGTCTCTCGGCTGTTAAAGAGCTGTTCAGAATCACAGGGCAGAAGGTTCCATTCCCGGCACAGTATGTATATGTTACATATTTATTGTTCAAAATTTCCATTTAATTAAAGAAAGGCTTTAACCCATTGAATGGCAGCCTCTCTCCTTTATGAGTAAAATTGTCACATAAAGGGTTAACATTCTGTTCAATGTAGAATATTTACAAGATGTAAAATATGCATGTAGTGTGACTGTTCAATCAAGAATGTCATGCAAGTCCATCAGTTAAATTTTACATGCAATCTTCTAATAAAATGACATTTCCCAATCAATTTCAACATTAAAAGATATCAGTCTGTGATTGTTTTTGTCAGTTACATTTCGAAACTGTTTGCAAAAGTATGATGTTGATTTACTTTATTTGAAAATGTGCTGCTATTACACAACTCAGTCTGGGTGATTTGTTTTGGCGAGCGTAGCCCATGAGCCCATTTAGAGAGGCTCATAAGACATGTAAATAGACATTCGTCCAGGGAAAGCAAGCTATAGCCAAGTTACCTGGGCTGGCTCGCCTCTATATAATCAGCCCCTTTCACATGTTTTAGGCAGACCGATATGAGGGTTACCATAGGCACAGCAAGCACATGCCATGCATTGGGTAATATTGGGAGATGTCGAGATGGGCTCTTGCAATGCTGTCTATATGCCATTAACGTGACTGCATTTCAAACAAGTCACATACCATATAAAAGTACTGTATACATGTCAACGTTATAGCAAATGAAATTTTCTGTGCTGATGCAATGTACTCAGGTGAATATGATGCTTGTGATGTTACACTGAGTGTATATCCACCCCAAGCAAGCTTGAAAAATATGCCTGTCCATGGTGGGAATCAAACCTATGACCTTTGGAATACTAGCCCAATGCTCTGCCAACTGAGCTATGCGGTCAGGTTGGTTCGAGCAAAGTCCTTAACTGTGGTTCGAGTATGTGATATTTCAGAACAAAATCTAGTTCTAAATCTGTCCACAGGTTTGATTCCCACCGTGGACAGGCGTATTTTTCAAACTTGCCCGGTGTGGATATACACTCATCATGATATCCTCTGTGTTGATGCAATGTACTCAGGTGAATATGATGCTTGCGATGTTACACTGAGTGTATATCCACCCCGAGCGAGCTTGAAAAATATGCCTGTCCATGGTGGGAATCAAACCTATGACCTTTGGAATACTAGCCCAATGCTCTGCCAACTGAGCTATGCGGTCAGGTCGGTTCGAGCAAAGTCCTTAACTATGGTTCGAGTATGTGATATTTCAGAACAGAATCTAGTTCTAAATCTGTCCACAGGTTTGATTCCCACCGTGGACAGGCGTATTTTTCAAGCTTGCCCGGTGTGGATATACACTCATCATGATATTTTCTGTGTTGATGCAATGTACTCAGGTGAATATATGCTTGTGATGTTACTCTGAGTCTCAGAGCAAAATCCATGTAATGCGCCACATGCCGGCTGCAATATTTTGAGCCCCTACATTTTTACTGCATTCTTATTGTCGTTTCTTCGTTTTTTCGCGTTTACCGTTGCTGGCAAGTCACCAAGGAATTTCTGGACGTATTCAGTGCTAAAATATTGGTTATATCATGTTCACATACTCGAGAAACTATCTTTTATCGTTGCGAGGTTTTTGGAAGCATATCAAAATCACTGGAGCGAACGTTTCTTTACCCCAGATTTCGCCATCTGTATGGACAGTGATTCGTTCTTATGGGTTATTGGGAAGTGTAAGAGGATCAAGAGGAGGAAAGAAAAGATGTCTAAACCGGGTTTATTCGATACCCATTCTTGAAAATCGATATCGTACAATCTTTGTTAGGCAAAATTCTGGTGTAAATGTGTCAAACTTATTAAATATTCAAAGTCGAACAATTTGCAGTGTGCAACCAACCGTTCCACCAGACAATACTCCCAGAATAAATAATAGATCGAAGCTGAAAATTGCACATTTAAACGTTCGTTCAATAAAAAACAGAGATCATTTTCTCCAAACTAAGTTTATCGTGCAAGAAAACGAATATGACATTTTCGCTGTTTCTGAATCTTGGCTAAATTCGACAGTCCGAAATGCGGACATAGAGATTGAGGGATATTCGTTGTCCAGACTGGATAGATTAAATAAAGCTGGAGGAGGTGTTTGTGTTTATACGCGGGCCTCGTTAAAAGTAAAGATTTTGAAAGATTTGACGGGAATTTCGCCATCTGGTTTTCATCAGCTTTGGTTGCAGATCCAACATAAGAAAATAAGATCGTTCCTATTATGTGTAACTTATCGACCTCCCGACTCTCCAGTCTCCCACTTTGTTGATGAATTTACTGATGCGTATACCCAAGCCCTCACTCATGGTAAAGAGGTGGTTGTAGGAGATTTAAACTGTGACTTATTAAAATGTTCGCCTGAATCTGATGCTTTCTATAATCTATGTTCTATTTTAAATCTATCGCAGTTGGTAACACTTCCCACGCGTGTTACACCTACTACGTCTTCGCTAATCGACGTAATTATGACATCGAATACAACCATCATTAAAGAGACTAGAGTTATTGAGACTCACGTCAGCGATCACCATTTAATTGATACGTGCGTTAATATGAAATTGCCCAAGCCACCAGTTATTTATACAACATCAAGAAGCTATAAGAAATATCAGCCAAAACACTTAGAGAATGATCTAGTCCAAATTTCCTGGCAAGACATCCTATGTACAGATGATGTTAATGACAAAGTCGATCAATTTAATCGCGTTTTTCTCGCAGTTTTGGATAAACACGCACCACTGAAGACTACAAAATTGAAATATCGGTCTATGCCTTTCATAGACCAAAACGTGAAAGAACTTATGAGTAAGAGAGATAAAATGTACAAAATAGCCCGACAGACTGGAGTCCTACGTGATTGGAATCAGTACACAATGATGCGTGATGATGTCAAAAGAAAGCTGAGGGAATCTGAAAGAAAATATGTAAATAAAGAGTTGGAGAAAAACCATAGCAGCAATGCTATGTGGAAAGTCATACGGAAATGCATTCCTAGAAAAGAGATGACGAAACCCGTATATACCAAGGATAAGAAGTTACTTGCCGAGGAATTCAACGAATATTTCACAACAGTTGGCCGACGTACTGCGAATCAATCTGAGAATTTGGGAACTGAGCATAATTTATTTCAACTACAGCTTTCTCAAAATGCTGTTAGTGGGATATTTGATGAGTTTAAATTTTACGCGGTCACCTCGGAGGAAATACGGCAGATCGTTAATCATTTTTCACCAAATAAAGCACCTGGTTGGGATAAAATTACGGTAAATCTTATTAAGGATTCGTTAACCTTTATTCTTCCTATAATTACAGACTTAGTTAACAGTTCCCTCCTGACTTCTGTTTTTCCAACAGCGTGGAAAAGATCTGAAGTCACCCCCGTATTGAAGGAAGGAGACTACCAAGTGGCTGATAACAATCGCCCCATTTCGCTGTTGCCGGTACTCTCAAAGGTGTGTGAACGGGTGGCTCTCAAGCAAATGAATGATTATATGGAAAGTAGAAAACGCCTAACAAAACATCAAAGTGGGAACCATAAACTTCATTCAACGGAAACTTTAAATACATTCCTAACGGATATATATCTGGACGCTATTGATAAAAAAACTGTTACTGCTGTCATACTTTTGGACCTATCAAAGGCGTTTGATAGTTTGAACCATCCTTTGCTCTTAAGAAAGCTCTATTCATTTGGAATTTCTAAACACGCTCTTGACTGGTTTAAAAGCTATTTGACTGGCAGGATCAAGTCAGTACGGATTGATAGTGAATTGTCCGAACCACGTGAAATAACGCACGGTGTGCCACAGGGGTCAATATTGGGTCCAGCACTATTTAATATTTACATTAATGATCTACCTGGTGTTCCCAATACGTGCTTACTCGAGTCATTCGTTGATGATTCCAAATCGTTCTTGTCTTTCGCAGTGAAGGACGTGGAAAGTGCTAAAATCCAGTTAAATGAGGACTTGGAAAGAATTGCTGCCTGGAGCTGCCAAAACAGTTTGTTAATACCGATAAAACAAAATTGTTGTTGATAGGATCACCTCAAATGCTTAAGAAAATTCCAGCAAATTTTTGTCTCACACTCTTGGGGATGGAGATATATCCGGTATTATCGGTGAAAGATTTAGGCGTCACCCTCGATTCATGTTTGAGCTATGATAATCACATAACTGACGTAGTTTCCAAATGCACGGGAAGCTTATGTCAAATAAATCGTGTAAAACATCTCCTGACTAAGAAATCGCTTTCAACAGCTATAAATGCCCTCGTGTTCTCGAAACTTTATTACTGCTCGACCGTTTGGGCAAACACGTCAAAGCAAGATTTGAAAAAGTTACAGAATGTGCAAAATTTCGCTGCACGCATTCTTACGAATTCGAGAAAGTTTGATCATGTCACGCCGTTATTAAAAGAACTTCGTTGGTTGCCAGTAAATGCAACATTACTCTTCAGAGATACGGTGTTGGCATACAAATGCTTAAATGGCTATGCTCCTGAATATTTAACGAAAAGGTTCATTACAAGGTCGCAAATACATGAACGCGTCACAAGAAATAAGGATACTCTGAATGTGCCTTTGTATCGAACAGCGACAGGTCAACGCTCATTTTTGTTCAGAGCAGTAAAGTTGTGGAATGACTTGCCTAACAATGTTAAATCCGCGAATAATTTAAAGAGTGTGAAAAGTTTTAAAATAGCATTAAAAACATATCTGTTTAAACAATTTTTAAACGACTCTTAGTTTTTAACTAGTTATCTATTAACATTAATATTGACTTCGTCTAGACTAATTAATATCTGAAAAGCCCTTTTGGGAGATGTTAAAGTTTTAAATTAAATTGGCAAAACAACCTTATTTGCTAATTTTCAACATTCACTGCAATGCAATCCTAAAAACTGGTGTAGAATTTCGCACGTTAAAGTTCTTTCTATTACTCCATAAAACTGTTATATTTTTAAAACTATAGTTCAACGTTTGTGGTCAGGTTTTTACGTTTACTTTATACTAATAATACTGATTTTACGTTTAGACAGATCCTAAACAACGGTTGACTGTCAAACAACTTTTTATGCATCCATGGTTGAACAAAGGATATGCTAATCCTGTAAATTCAAAGGCACGAGTAAAGGTATGGTCTTATGCAGAATTTTGAAAGGTCTTTGTTCAATTGTGTTGCTTTTTTGTACACCGATCGTGGTTTCTGTTTGTACATTAACGTCAACGTAGTTCTCTGCATTGACTCCAAGTATATATCGTTATATTTTACGGTGGAATAATGTTAACCAATAAAGGCGCTCAAGACCATAACGATTATAATATTCCATGCACTTGGTTATGACTGAAAATTTTAAATTTTTGATACGTTTCTCAAACGGCAAACAAACTAAAAAGTATGTTTAATGCTTTATCTGTAAAGTAATGCTAAAATGAAGAGATTTTAGATGATATTTCCCCAAGAGAAAAAGATGTCTGAAGTTCGGTACGTTTATATTGCTGTTATAAACATGGCGTCAATTTTAAAGCATCTTGATAAGTGTACTTTAATTTACAATTTTTGCAATTATTTGTTTCTCCTCAACTGGCAGATGCATTTAAAATGGGTGCTAACTGTGAGTGTGTAAACTAGAAAATAAAGTTAAAACAAAGTATTTTAGAGAGGTACGCCAAAACGTTTTGCATGAACGCTTTTCAATGCAAATACACAACATAGAAAAAAATTGCCTATGTTTCTTTTATTTTCTCTTCTTATCTCTACCCAGAAAGATGAACCTGACTCAGAGGTTATTAAAGAACTCGCTTTATTCTATGGCGTATCACCCTCCACCATGACGTCTCTTGTTAAGGAGGTAACTGACAACTTCGTTTCTTATATATTTTAACGTTTACCTGTTTTTAAACGTTTACCCATAGTCAAGGTACCGGTCGTTATTTATGGGGGGGGGTGGAGGAGGGGGCACCGAAGAGAAAAAGGAACGACATTTTGAATAAATGAATGAAAGATTGTGTAATTGAAAGACAAAACAACTCAAGGGTAGGGTAATAAAAATTGGAGACTAGAAAGCAATCATGTCAACAGTCACATGTCAATACAATATGGAAATCAATTAATCAATCAAAATGGTGTTTCCAAAGAAAGTGCATGTGCAGACGGCATGAAACATTACACTGGTAAAGGTCATTTGTGACAACTGAATTAACGGTATCCTTTTGAAAAGCTTTTGTTGGCCAGGAGTGGGTATTTACTTTTTAATTGATATCCGAGGTTGACTTTTTAATGATTGGATCAGCACAATTATTACCAAGAAAACAATTTTCTTCGATGCCCCCCCCCCCCATAAATAATGACCGGTCCCTGAGAAGGGTATCACACAAACACTGAAAATTGAAAATTGAAAGTAAATTACTGCATTTTCCTTATAATTTTTTCACTTTAGTAATAGTTTGTGTAATTGGAAAGAATGCATGGAGGTCACCGTGATTTTTCCAAATACATACATGAGGCAATAGACTATTTTAAAGTCAATTTGATGCGTCGTGTTGCCGTATCGCAACTGACAAGAGGTTAAAAAATTCTTCTAAACGCCGTACGAGGTCCTACGGTCGAGGTTCTACAACTAACTTGATGTACGTTTCATCGATGTTAACGCACCATTTTCTATAACCTAGTTTTACCCATGTTCTCTGTTGCATTTATTTCCTGTAAGAAATAAAAATGTTTCGCGAGCGCGCCTACAAGTAGCAAATTCCTGTCAACTCAGATACTAACGGTCTAAACAACGTATTGTAATACGAATGTGTGACGATTTGCTGAAAAGCATGGATAACGGAGAATTAAATTGTGTAGTTTTCCTTGACGTTAGAAAAGCCTTTGATTCCATAAATCACGAGATACTGTTAGACAAAATGCATAATTTCTTCGGAATAACGGGAACTCAATTAAAATGGTTTGAATCATATTTGAATAATAGAGTACAGCAATGTTTGGTTAATGGACAACTTTCGAGTCCGAAAACGATTACATGTGGAGTTCCCCAGGGGTTTATCATGGGTCCTTTATTATTTTTATTATCTATAAATGACATGCCTGATCCATCAAGCTACTCAGTTTCATCCCTCTATGCTGATGATACAAAAATCTATGCTTCCTCTAACAACTGTGATGGCCCTGTAGACACACTTTAATAAATCTAAACATATGTTCATCCAATTGGGTCATCCTATAACCTTAAGAATAAAATAACTAGGAAACCTATTCTAAGTAATAATCAACCTATTCCCAGGACAGATAGTTACTCGTACCTAGGCGTAAATATGGACGAAACATATTGATAATATATGTTCAAAGGTGCTGGTATTGGTGCAATGAGACAAATTAAGCCATTTGTCCCACTACCGACACTAAAAATGTTGTATAATGCCATCGTGCAGCCTTACTTTGAGTATTGCTGTCAGTTATGGAATAATTGCGGTATTGGAACCAAAAACAGGCTGCAAAAATATCAAAATCGGGCTGCAAGTGTAATTACTGGGGCAAACTATGATGTTCGATCGGCTGATTTACTTAAAAACTTAAGGTGGGAACCCTTAGAAGTAAGACGCAACTACTTGAAAGCTATTTTCGTGTATAAAATAATTAATGGCCACACCGCACCTAATCTAAAAGAATCGTTTCGATCAAACAACGAAATAGATAATTCTTACAATCTCAGAAATAGAGAAACTGACTTAGCACTTCCAATGCCAAAGAAAGAATTCGGCAAAAGGTGCTTTAACTATAATGGGGCCTCACTGTGGAACAATCTTCCCCAGGAGGCAACAAATTCAGAATCGTTAAGCTCTTTCAAAACAATTTTGAATCAGAGAATTTGTTGAATTTGGCTCATCAAAATATATTAACCTCTAAGTAGTACAACTGTGCTATTATTCACTTGTTGCTAATGTGTTTTATCATGTAAATAGTTCTAAATCACGCCCTTCATGAAAATCAGTTTGTAATGTTGTTGAGGCTAGCGTGAATAAATAAATTTTGTATGTATGTATGCGTTAAGTGTGCGTTCCGTACGTTTCCTTGGTTACTGCATGGGCGTACACCAAACATTTTTCGGCATACAATCGTACGTCCGTACTCCTATTTTAAAGCCTGTTTTCCACTTCAACCGCTATCGTAACGTACCGTAGCATATCATTTTGTGTCGAAGTCATTTAGTTCCACACTACCGCTCAGGAAACAAAGAAATACGCTACTTTCGGTACGATACGATTGAAGTGGAAAACTAGCTTTAATCTCTTGTGAAACATAAAATCTTAAGTTTTATATTTCCTTGATTTTTTTAAAACTGTAGCGACCACCGTTTTATATATTTAATAATACAGTGCAGAATTATATTGTGCTAACAGGGTATTCCTATTTTTCCCCAAAAAATTAGTATCAATTTGACGATTTAACGGCTACTTATTTTCTGCTGTGTAAGAAGAAAAGTCATGGGGAACCTCTAAAGTTTACGAACAGTTGTATCAAGTAAGTAAATCAGTCTTTGGTGGTTTTATTGTGAACTTGTGTTTTCGATAAGTTGCTCATACCATTTCGCAGAACGTGTAACAGTTTATTGCATGAACATAGTTTAATTTATTTCCACTCTTTTCTATGAAACCAGAGCGCAGCGGAGGAAGAGGAAAGACATGTTAGCACTCGAGGTGTGTGTTTGTTACTTAGCTACATTTGAATTTTAAAGAGACACCTTTCAGACAAATATAAATATGTCCATGCAGTGGCGGAAATTCACTTTTTCCGGTGGGGAGGAGGGCAAAGCCTCCTAAATTTCCGACAAAACTTTCAAATTTCCGACAACCCCCCCCCCATTTGCACTCGAAAAGGCTGTTTTTAATCCTCTTTTAAGTCAAAATTTACGAAAATTCGTCATTTTCGCGATTTCCACCACTGTGTCCATGAATAGAGATATGTCTACCCATACTTCCAGTAAGCAATATCCTGCATAGGAAACAGTCAGTCGGTTGGAGGAAAGGCAAAATAAGCACACACAGTACTGCAGTGCATTGCCCTTGAGCATGTACGCATACTATTCTAGACATACTATTTGAATACATATCAAGGCTTATGATTCCGAACAAAGGAACAGATAACAAACTAAAAGACTAACAAACTCAAGCAGCGAATATGAAGTGATGGACTTTAGTCATCGCAGAGTATATTTTTTTATTTTCATGCAACAGGTTGAGAAAAAGAATGCGTGTCATTTTTAAGTATCTTGCTATTGCTTCAATATTTACGTTGCTGCAATGCTTATTGTATTTGCATTCATAGGCAAATAAATGTTGCGTTATACGATTACGATTAGCATTTCTATAACGCAAAGTTATATATGGATATGATCAAATGCGCTTTACATCAAGTATTATACGGAGTACCTAAATTACATTATTACATACTTAGCATAGGCTATTTTGTCTTTACAACAATTTACAACCTTACATTCCATTGCGAGTTATATGGGTGTCTGTATTTCAGACACTCTTATATTGGATTTGAGTGCCCACCCTAACAACGTTCCCTGTGGGCGGAAACCGGAGCACTCGGAGAAAACCCACGACTTTCAGCAGAGCGTTATTCGCTATTCACTCCATGCAGTCCGTAGCGAGAATCGAATCTGCGAACTCAGAAGTGAAATGCACTTGACAAAAGCACATAAGTCTACGACTACGCGCCACCGCATTCCTTACCCTTATGTTTTATTTGTAACTTGTTAAATAATTATGTTGTGTATTTTTATAGAAAAAGATAAGTGAATCAAGGGAAAACATAGAGAACGAAATATACCATGACAATCCACCTTCGATCTTAGTTGATGACGAAGACGACGTTTTCTCAGCTGATCTTCGCGACTTCAGAAAACCAAGAGCATGTACTCTTCCCCCTGAATTTATGGGAACTCCTCCAATTAATGAAATGCCAAGTGCTACACGTACGTCACCTCCTAGAACTTTCCTGACTCCTTCCCTTCCAAAGAAAGGTCAGTACTTTTAGTTTTATATGTGCAATAGTTAAAAGTATAATGTCCTAATATTTGGTAACAGTTTCGCTATCCTGTGTTTTATATATTTGTCTACGATCGAGCTTTTGTATCGGTTGAATTGTCCATTAAGTCTATTTAATTAAAAACTTCCTCTCTATTTTATTAACAGAACAACCAGTACCATCATCGGCATCAAATTACGAGATTGGAATGGGAAAACCTTTATCACCCGAGACTAAATTGTAAGTTTCATTTCATCACTATTTATAAAAACATAATAATGATAATTAAAAATCTCTATTATTATATATAATGAATAATTCATGACGAAAATCCACAAGAAATGAATGTTTAATTAATAAATAAATATCTGTAAATCGGATAAAGATTTTCTCTACTAAAGCGAACCATACTGCCAAAATAGTCGGTAAAATTGGTATACTTACATGTATAATATGAATCATTCTGAACTCAGATTCCGTAAATTAAGGACTGCGGTATATATGGTATTGGATTCTCCAAATATAGATAGAGTCAGTCAACTCTTAGCCTATAAGTTCAAGTATTCGAACAAGGAATGTTAATGTCTTGAGTAATTTCTATGTCCTTTCGACATTGGTTCTGTCATTTACTTGAATTGTTTAAGTTAGCACTTGTATAAGATCATCAGATCAAGACATGTAACCTAACTTGTTCAGTGCTAGGACGTGCTTTAAGCCGCTCTGTAAGAAACTTAAATTTTGCTTTTCAAACTTGACTACAAATAAATGAAATAATTATCATTGTCAAGTATATTCGCTGCTAGAAATAGTATTCAACAGCGCTTTAATTCAATCGATAACGATGGCGACAAGAAGCAAGGAAACGTTAGTGGCTACCATAAAGCTGGAAATTCAAGAGGCGCTCAAGTCTGAAGAATTCCAAAAGTTAATACAATCGGCCATGGAGGAAGCTTTGAATGTGGCAATATCTAAAGTAATCGAGCCCTTAACTAAAACAATCGTTGACTTACAGGAGAAAGTATCAAGCCTCGAATCTCAACTGTCGAGCGTATCAAATATGGCTAATGATAATGAACAATACTCCCGTAGACACAACGTTCGAATTTCGGGTCTCGACGAAGAACAGGGTGAAATTTGTGCTGAAAAAATTGTAACATTTTGTAAAGAGAAATTGAAGGTTGACATCAGTGACAAGAATATTGACCGGGCCCATCGTGTGGGCAAACCTAGGGAAGATAGATCAAGAGCAATCATCGTTCGTTTTAATTCTCATAAGGATAAAATTGCTGTTATGAGACAACGACGAGAGCTGTACTCAAGCCATTATTACATTAATGAAGATCTCACGAGCAGAAACCAACATCTCTTATACGAAGCAAAGAAAAAATGTAGAAATGTCGGATCGGCATGGTCAAAGGACGGCAAAATCTTTGCGAAGAGAGCTTCGGATAGTAAAATTTTTCGATTAATATCTGTGGATGATCTGTTAACTTATGGCCTCGTTGACTTTGCATATTAATTATTTGATCAGCTAGCTGTGAATGTACTTATCACGCCCATATAAGATATCTATGATCACGCCTCATATGGGATTTAACAATTCTTTTTTAAATTTATATTATTATCTTTGTTGTTTTGTCTTTGTGTGTGTGCAGCATGAGGTAAGTTTTTTCTATTTTGATTGGTCTCATGGGGGTTAGTTTGGAATTTTATAGAGCAGCAATCGGGATGTTTAATTTATCTGGGTGTTTTGACCTTGCCCTTGGGAATGTCTTTTGTGGTTATGGTTTTGTAGATCTTTTGTTTGTTCGTGTTAGCGAATTCCTTGTTATGTTGTTTGTTGCATGCATCCTAATTATTCTATCTAATGATGTTCAACTCAACCCAGGTCCGGTTAATTTTTTTACTATCGGCCAACTCAATGCTAGAAGTTTGAATGTAGGACGTGATAAATTTGAGGAAATTTCTTCCTTAGTTATTGAGAATAATTTTGATATTTTTGCGATTACTGAAACATGGCTTAATGAATATATTTCTAGTGACTCTTTTGCTATTCCTGGATACAGTACAATTATTCGGCGCGATAGAGAGGGGAGATTAGGTGGAGGCGTTGCTATTTACACGTCCGATTCGCTTGTTGTAAAACGAAGGCCTGACCTCGAAATTGCAGGGCTCGAACTTCTGTGGATTGAGTTTCGACTAAATCAGAACCATTTTTTATGTTGTGTTTGTTATCGGCCTCCAATCAATGACCTTGGCTCAATAAACACATTTCTAAATGACTTTCAAAAATCATTAGATGCGATACGTGACCTGCCAATAGATTTCAATTTAATTATTGTTGGTGACTTTAATGCACATTATAACATCGACTACCCACAAGAAAGCACTGATGTAGGGATTCGGCTTCATAGCTTCTTGGAGGGAAACAACCTCACTCAATTAATTACAGAACCCACTCGAGTCACCAGCCATAATGCATCAATTCTAGATCTCGTCATTACTAGTTGTCCGACCTTTTTCACAAAAATGGGAACTTTAAGTCCGCCATCTAACTGTGACCATTCTGTTGTTTTTGCTGAGATGAATATTCGAACTCTTAAATGCCATTCCTACAAACGAGAGATCTGGAATTTTAATAAGGCTGACTTCTCCGCTTTGAATAGGGAACTCTTGCAATCAAATTGGTCTTCTCTTTTCGATGGTGCTTTTGATATTGACATTGTTTATAATACTTGGTTTGCCCATTTTCGCACAATTATTGAGAAGCATATTCCGTTAAAAATTGTCACCATAAGGCCAAGGGATAAACCTTGGATGACTGGTGCGGTTCGTCGTGCAATACGTAAACGTAACCGACAACTTCGAACTCATAATAATAGACCAAATGAGTACTCATGGGAAAATTACCGTAGACAACGTAATTTAACAACACAATTGATTAGATCTGCTAAACAATCTTATTATGATAAAGTCAATAAAGACTTAAGTAATCCACTGATAAGTGCCAAAAAATGGTGGTCCATATCAAAAAATCTTTGTGGCAAGAAAAATAGTTCAAGAATACCATCGATATTAGAAAACAATATTTCGATAAATAATCCCAGAGAAAAAGCCTGTATTTTTAACTCCTATTTTGTTACCCAAACTCAACTACCGGGAGCCAATTCTGTTGCTTCACCTGATATACCATTATTCCAAACTGTCACGTTCCTTGCTCGTGTCCATGCTAATGAAGATGAAATTTTAGCATTAATGAGAAATGTTGACATTAGAAAGGCATGCGGGTTTGACGGTATCGGAAATAGAATAATCAAATCTTGTAGTGATGGAATATATTCCTTTTTCACCAAATTTATCAACTTGTCGCTTGCTCTAGGACAGTATCCTACTGTGTGGAAAATGGCTAATGTAGTCCCAATATTTAAAAAAGGCGAACCCCAATTAAAAGTTAACTACAGACCAATATCGCTTTTACCATGTTTGTCAAAAATATGTGAAAGAATCGTTTTTATCAGACTTTATAATTTCTTGTTAGAAATAGGCTTTTTATATAAGTTTCAATCGGGATTTAGACCAGGTGATTCGACAGTAAATCAATTACTGTATTTTGTTCATCAGATTTATTGCGCGTTTGAAGCTGGCAAAGAAGTAAGAGTTGTTTTTTTGGACATAAGTAAGGCGTTTGACAGAGTATGGCATGCTGGATTGTTAAAAAAACTTGAAGCAATCGGAATTCGCAATCCTCTTTTACAATGGTTTGAAAGTTACTTAGAGAATCGAATTCAACGTGTAGTTATTGAAGGGCAGTCATCTGAATGGGAAAAGGTCGGTTCTGGTGTACCACAAGGGTCAGTTCTAGGACCTTTATTGTTCTTAATTTATATAAATGATTTAACTGACGATCTAGAATCCTGTCCTTTTATTTTTGCTGATGATACTACCCTCTTTGAAGTTGTTGATAATCCAACCAATTCTGCTCAACTTTTAAATAAAGATCTAAATAAAATCTCCCAGTGGTCTGATCAGTGGTTGGTGACTATGAATCCGTCTAAAACCCGATCTATGACATTTTCGAATAAGAGAGAAAGGGAAAATCACCCGGTGCTTTCAATGGGAGGTTGTGATATAGCGGAAGTTAATATCCACACCCACCTTGGTCTCGTTTTTCAAAATAATATATCATGGAATAGTCATGTATTTTCTATGTACGAAAAAGCCTCTAAACGCTTAAACTTGTTAAAATCGTTGAGGTTTAAAATTAATAGATCAACTCTTGCTTGTTTGTATAAGAGCCTGATACGTCCAATTATGGAGTATGGGGATCTTATATGGGATAATTGTACTGTTAGTAATAGTGACCTGCTTGAAAGTGTCCAGTATGAGTCTGCCAAAGTCGTTACGGGGGCCATAGCAGGTACTAGTTCAAAAAGTCTTCGTGAGGAACTTGCTTGGGAGGAGTTGAGCATCAGAAGAAAAATTCATAAATTATCTCATTTCTACAAGATAGTTAATAAATCTACTGCTCCGTACCTAGTAGATCTCTTACCGATTTTGGTGAATGAAAGATCTTATATTTCTTTACGAACTGGCCAAAATATTAGTGAGTATAGATGTAGAACTGAAAAATTCAAAAAGTCTTATTTTCCTTCCACAATTTCTTTATGGAACTCTATTGATCTTGATGTGAGAAACTCAATCTCCCATGCTATTTTTAAATCTAAAATAGTTAATCATTTTCATCCATTTAATTATGATAAATGGTTTAACTTTTCACTTACGAGAAGAGCTTCTGTCTTACATACAAGACTAAGATTGGGTTGCTGTGCCTTGAATGATTATTTATATAGTATTAATTGTTGTAATTCTCCTTTATGTGCATGTGGTGTAGAAAGTGAATCTGTAAAACATTATCTATTATCATGTCCCCGTTTTGCTGCTCAACGTATCAAACTTCTTACCTCAGCTGCACAAGTTTTTGGTCAATCATGGCTATTGAGTGGTGACAATGAGAAAGTTAAGTGTATGTTGAAAGGATCTATCCAGTTGAATTATGAAGAAAATTGTATGTTATTTGGTATAGTTCAACGGTATATTCTGGATACTTTTCGTTTCTCCTAGCCATTATGACCCAAATGTGTCTGTCTTCCTCTTTGTTATTGGTTGTATCTTTTGTGTTTGTATTTTTGTAAACATTCTTTTTTTATATAAAAACATTTATGTAAATAAATTAAATGTGAGCCTCCTTGATAAGCCTCGGCTTTTGAGGCAAACATGTTATTAATAAAGTTTATATAAAAAAAAGATACATACTAAGGTCTGGACTCTATATATATATATATATATATAGATATATATATAGATAGATATAGATAGATATATATATATAGATATATATAGATATAGATATATAGATATATATATATAGATATATAGATATATATATATATATATATATATATATACATATATATATATATATATATATATATATATATATATATATATATATATATATATATATATATATATATATATATATATATATATATATAAACAAAAGTTAGGGACAGCCATTGGCACAAAATTTGCTCCAGCGTTTGCAAATATTTTTATGGCAGAATTGGAAAATAAAATGTTGGCGGGGTATCACTTGAGTCCTTCAGTATGGTTCAGATTTTTGGAGGATATATTTTTTATTTGGCTTCATGGTAAAGGATCCCTGTTGGAATTTTTAAATTATATTAACAATTACCATGAAACAATTAAATATACATGGGAATATTCGGAAAGGGGGTGTCTTATTTGGATGTGCGGGTGGAATTGGAGTCTGGTAAATTGCAAACGGATGTGTATTCAAAACCGACTGATACACATCAATACTTAGACTTCAAGTCTTGTCATCCTGCACATGTGAAGAAGGCAATCCCCTATGGTCAGGCGCTAAGATTAAAACGGATTTGTAGTTTGGAAAAAGTTTTTCAGGATAGGCTTAAAGAAATGGAAGGTCATTTAATAAAGCGACGATTTAACAAAAAGTTGGTTAAGGACCAGTTTTCTGAGGTTAAAGTTAAGGATAGGGCTGAAATGTTATGCCAAACGGATAAGAGGAAGAATTCTAACTTGGGTATAGAGTACCACTGGTAGTAGAATTTCATCCGGCATTAAAGGAAATTAATGGAATTGTGGAAGCACTTTGGCCGATTCTGGAGACATCGGAGTGGATGAGGGATGTCTTTGGTAGTAGGCCGATTGTTTCATATAAGCTAGAGACCAAAAAATTTAAAAGATAGTTTGGTTAGATCTAAGGTTAAAAAGGCTAGGGAGGTACGTGTAGGGATGAGTAAGTGTCATAAGAGTCGTTGTCAGATTTGTAATTATGTATAGATGAGGGAAAAGAATTTCTCGAGGGAAAAGTAAAATACTACATTAATTACAACTTTGATTGCGATTCGGCTGGGGTGATTTATTTGATTTATTGTAGAAAATGTGGGAAAAAGTATGTGGGGAGTACAATTA